ATGGACTGACTCGCGAAGAATATGATTCAGAAGAAAGGAAGAGGTCAAAAGAAGAGAAGGTTTTCCTTATGACGAACCTGAGGGATCTGATAGTCCAAGAGGGAGCAGCAGTAGCGTGTGCGAATTGGAGGGACGCTCTCTGTTTCATTCGATTCCTGATAGAGCAGATTTCAGTACCTGCATTAAACACCTGTGTTAAAATGTTGAGGGAAGGCGATGAGCGAGCAAAAGCCTTATTCTTACTAGCACTGCTGGATATGCAGCAAAGTAAACCAATGAGGGTGAACATGAAAAAGATAGACGAAATCAGGAGATTCTCAAACAAGGAGCTGAGACTCACTAAAGAATCTATGGGAGCATTGCCGAGATACAGTGAATACTGTGGACCGATCAAGAAGAAATCGTATAGCTACGTATCCGGGATCATAGGGATAGCGTACAATCCTTTCTTGAGTGAAGACATACGCGATTGCTTCTTCGATTATGAGCAGGCGGTGTTGCTAACATTCTGGACGTCCAGAATTGTAACGATTAAGAGCATTAACAATCCACAGGCCAAATTGGGACTGGTCTTGGAAGAAGAGGTGACTGCACCTTCAGTACCAAAATCCGACAAAAGAGTGGAGTTTGGGTTGGGATTCTCAGATGAATTACTGAGAACGAGCTTGATGACAGTGTGGGAATTGATGAGGCCATCATGGTGTCCTAGTCCCAACGCTGACTCAATTTTACGGGCGACACAAGACGTACAGAGGGAACTGAATGCATGCTGTAACCTGCGTGACCTCAACATCATATATAATGTGATGATAACGGCCTCTAAGAGCAACGGAGAAGATAAAGTGGAGTTGCCTGGCTGGGGACCAGAAGACTGGGTCAAACCTGGTAGCTGTCTGGCGGAAGTCTGTGGACTGGAGGGTCACGTTTGTGGAGGTATGGACTGTGTGAAGACCCTGGAAAAACAACACAAGCAATTGACGGTATTGTTTGGAAACGTAGTGATGAAAGCAAGAACAGAAACGGAACTGATAGCAGATTGCCATGGAGGAACCGATGTGAATCTAGTGACTGCACTAGGATTCTACAGCATAATTGGTTCTTTAGGGTCACTATTGAATCTAGAACAGAAACATGAGATGGTCACAGCCATCAGGGTAGAAGTATTCGCAGGAGTCCTGCAGACTGAGCAGAAATACATAGGAAAATGGAGGGAAGCAATCGAGACGGAAATGAACATTAGACACAGTGAGACTTATTGTAGACCATCAGGAGCACGATATTTGGTGAGTTCAACATTGGCTCCAATGTGCAAGAGCAGATACCCTGTACATTTCGTAGCTGTGGACGTGAAGAGTACGAGAACGATTGTGGATCAAGCCTTCTCAGTGCCGAAGTGTGTGAGACTGGCGAGAATGTCCGAGAAGTCATACGAGTTGCTATGTAAGATGTTCTCAGCAGTTCCAGAGAGAACCAAAGAAGAATTGGAGTCAATTTTAGGAAAAAAGTTCATGGGATATGTGAGCGGGAACTTCAGTGACTTCGAGAGACAGAAACAGAGAGGATGAACTGTCACAGATTACAATGCAGTAGATGAGAATGATGAATTCCACCGAGTGGTGATGGAAGTGGAACCATTGCTGGAAGCTTCGGGAAAACGTAATTGGAGGAGCATCATGTTGACGCATGACGAGTTTCCTTGCCACTGCTTGCTGCAGACCTGGTGGTATCCCAAGCGTAGTAATCTGATGTTGATCTGGGACTCTGGAGAGCTGCTCTCCATGGGTTTACCAGATTCATCACAGCCCATAACAATAGTGATAGTGGGAGTTATGATGGCGATACGATGGCTGGAAGCTCATGTGAGAGAAAATAACAGACAGGAGGCACCGACGAGAGAACAGTTGCGGAGATTAGATTGTCTGAAAGATTTAGATCTTTTTGAGACAATGTGCAAAGTTCTAAACATTCCGATGGAAGTGAAAAAGATATGGGCGAGGAAACGATTGATGCCATGGTTCAGAGCTAACATGACTGCATGGTTGTATGAATATGCGAAAAAGCATATGTCGAAGCATGGCAGAGTGTACAGTGAATATCAGCTGGACATTGGAGCAGGAGCTTTTAAGCGAGCTCTCGTGACTCATCGGAATGAAAGCTGTGAAAAGAATTTCCAGGACGAGTGAACGTAGTGGAAAGGAGAAAGCAGAGATGTTGAATGAAGATTTGGAGAGAAACGTGACGTTGTGTCTCCACAACAGCTTCTGCAGGAACAGAGATTCTAACGTGGATCCCCTACCTTGCTGTAAATAGAGGATGGAAGAGCAGAAGTGTTGGAGGACGGCTTCCAGCAGCGCCAGGATTGCTAACGACGTGTTACAAGATACGGAGACTGAGAGTGCAGAGTCAGTATCACAGGAGGAAGAAATGGAGCATTGACGAATGACCGAAAAGCAAGATGGGAAAAAAGAGACGAAAATTAGAAGAATTTAGAAATTAGAACTTCTAAACGACAAAACAAGAAGAGAACAAAGGAGCAATGAAGGAAAAGTTAAAACTCAGAATTGCTTTATGTGTGTGAAAAAACTCAAGTGAGAAACCAAGCAACCAAGTTGTAATTGGAAACTGAAACATTTAGTTGAGTTTTGAAATTGTTGCATTTTTAAATTTGCATTTTGATTTTAGTTGAGTGGCTTTAGAGACACTCGCTTACTATTTATTTAGAAAGGCTTAAGTGAAGGAGTATATTTAAATATTCCAGCCTACATGACTGTTTTTAATCAGCTAGGAGAACTGATCACTTTGTGGTGACATGAAAGGCTTGGGTAATCTCTCGACGAGGGAGATTGTTTCATTGTTCTTTCTAGCCACGGAGTTTCTTAGTTTTAATGTTCAGGACAATAACAAGCAAGGTTTCCGAAGGGAAGAAGCATAGTAGGATAATTTTAGCTTGTTGGTTGGTAGGACTGTCCTGCAGACCAACACCTTTTAAATCTAAGAGGAAAAGTTTTAATTGGGACATTGACGTTGGAAGTGAGAAAATATGTTTATCTTAAGTCATATCCTCAATGTGCAGATTAATGAAAGAATTTGAAGGCTAAAGTGATGTAGTATGATGCCATTTATATTCTGCAGTGAGTCGATGTGACGTGGATAAAAGTAATTTCGTGCATTTTGTAAATTCTGTTCGATGACACTGTATCTATTTTACGAACATTGCGTGATTCAATGAGGACATTGACCGGACTGTCCGGGAAGTATGTGACATTCGACCAGAATGTGAAAAATGCAATATCTGCGGAATTCGAAATTTTAGCAGCGAGCCTTCCGAATTAGTGATTTTAAAGGATTAACGACGTTATCTGAACGATGGGACAAAACGTGAAGGTTGAAGGATTCGGGAATTGCTAGTTTTTAAATTTTCGAAATGATTACGTAACATTTCTGAGAAACGTCAGAAACGGCCATTTTGGCAAAGAGGTCGAAGAAAAACACAACAACATTAGTTGCGCGGACGATAACTACGAGAATCGTGATCAAAAAACAACAGCAGATTGCAGGAAAAGCAGAGAAGGTTCCGAGTTGCAACTATTGTGTCGCTACAATAGTTGCAAGGCCGTTGCGGACAACGGTGAAATGTGGAGGACAGCCTTCCGGATTAAGAAGAAATCAAGATTAACGAGCTTGATTCAGTGGATTCAAGAATCCGGAAGGGTTTCGGAACTGAGACTTTTAGCCTTTTATAAAAACGTTTAGCTTCTTGTCATGTCCTGATTTGAATTTAATTAACAACTGGATTCATTTTGATAAGGATGAGAAGCTAGGAGTTGGGGGAAAGGGTTGATCCATCTTCGATGGAGATGATGATTTTTATCTACTGAACAAAAACAATAATAATATAATAAATAGTAGTAGCCCTGTTTTTAGGAGTGACCAAAATGCTGGTAGACTAATAAAATAGTTTGGTATTGGCAGCTCCATGAAGTCAATTGGAAGTCGGCACTTTTGATTCGACTTGGTTGATTGAATTTGAAATCATGTTTGTCGTTTTTTCCAGATCTTTGATCGCGCTGTAAGTATTGTTGAAATAATTAATCCTTATGAAGCACGAAAACGTTTGAATTATTATTTCAAAACTTATAAAAACTGTGAATAAAAATAAAAGGTAAGACTTTGTGCTTGACAATCATATTCAGGCTTGTCAACAAAAGGACTTAAACACTTGTCAGACTTAAAGTCAGACAAAGGACTTAAAGTCAGACAAAAGGACTTAAACACTTGTCATCTTCTTTTGTCATTATCACTTCCATATCTAGAAAATTCCAAGGATTTTGACTGGAATACATGATGAAGGGACTCATGACTGTAACCTCGGTTACTATGATACTTTTAACCTTCTGATTATCTATGTGAGAAAAGAAAAAAAAAGAAAAATAAAAAAAAAGAAAGATAAAATAAAAGAAAAAAGAGAAGAAAAAGAAAAAGGAAAAAAGAAGATAAATAGAAAAATCATATTCAGACATCTGAAATGTCGAAAACAGAGAGAGAGAGAGAGAGTTCTATAAAACTTTTGTGTTTCCTTGGCTGAAAGTGTGTCAGACAAAATAAATGTCATCTTCGACGTAGAGGATATTACACAATGGCTTTTTATAAGTCTTATTTTTGTTGAGCAACCGAAAAGAAGTGGATGCAATCAAATCAAAAGTATGATCCCTGTAATAAAAAAAATTCGAGCAAATACCGTTTCACTTCTAAAAACCCATCCACAAGTTCAAGCCATCTAAGTGGTCTCGAGCAGAGAATAAAGCTTTATAAAAAGTAAGCTCGATGAAGAAAATATAAAGAGATGGATAAGGCTTGCTGCTTCGGATGACAAAAATGCTTCTTTTTGAACTGACAAATATCATAAATTAACGTCTAAGCACCCTTAGTGCGACTTATTAAAGGGAAGATTGATAATCATGAGAAGATCGGCCTGCTGGCTTTGACCTCGTACAAATAATCTTGCATTGAAAATTTTTCCAGGTTTAGATAATGTAGTGTTGGACGAATATTTCTTTTTGAAATGGCCGCATCTTTAGCAAATATCACAAATGTTTGGAAGGAGTTCAACTTGGTCATGTTCCAGGTAGGTGAAAAATTTTATAACTTCATTTCTTTTGTAATTAAAGTTTCATACACGAATTCCCCATTATTCAATTTAGTCTGAACTGGACCAAGTTGCGACTGAACTCGCTGACAGACAGGAAAACAGTGAGCAAAGCCGGAAGAAATTAATCGAGCAAAACAAGGAGTTCAAAAAGAATTCAACTGCAGAGACAAAGAAACAAGTCGCGCCTCTACTTAAAAGTTTCCAGAATGAGGTAAAATCGTTGACTACTGCTGAGCGTAACTACTGTGACTAAGGTTTTGATTATTGTTTGATATGTTTTGATTATTGTTTAGATCGATGACCTGACGAATCGTAGCAAGGCTGCGGAAGCAGCTTTTCTGACTGTTTACAAACGGATAGTTGAAGCACCAGGTAAACTATAATTTCAAAAAGGTGTGTATCAAAGAGTTTCAGCAAATTAGATAGAGCACTAGAGTTTCATGATTATTGAAATTAGATAGAGCACTAGAGTTTCATGAAATGTTGCATGAGTTACAGATCCTGTACCGTCGCTCGAGTTCGTACAATCCATTCAAACCAAGGCAAGCAAAGTAGCAGATCTGGAGCTCGAAAACGGCAAACTTCGCGAGACACTCTCGGAGTACAATAAAGAGTTTGCCGAAGTTAAGAATCAAGGTAATTATCGATTTTGCTTTTCGAATTATTTCTTTCTTCATCAGTAATGCCAATTAAAAAAATTTAAAAATTGTTTGAAGTAAAAATATATCGTTCAAGCTGATGTTACCCATTCAATTGCTGTGTTCTGGCATCATATATAAGTGACCAAACTCGTTGCTTTAGAGGTGACGATTAAAAACCTTCGTGAGAAAGTGAAAGAATTAGAAGACTCAGTCGAGAGCAGAGTCAGCAGTCGGCTGGTTGAGAAGGAGAGGGAATTGGCTAAGAGCTACGAGGAGAAGAACCAACTGATTGCTTCCTCGCAGGTGGACTTGGAGAAAAAGTTGACTGAGTCGGAACACAACTCACATGCGCTGCAGTCAGGTTTGACTACGATAGTTTGTCAAAAACTTTTCTATCTTGCATACTGGACGTTTGTGTGATGAAGACAATTTTTAGTTCCCAATTCCAATTCTTGATCGTTCACTGTATTTTTGCGATGATGGTTCATGTTTGGGGTAATAAAAATTAATTATATAATTCTATTAAACTTTTTCTACTTGGTAAAACATGAATCAATATTACCTCAATTAAACGTTTTCGTCCGAACACATCATCAGAAATCTAGAAAAATTCAGTTTGATGACAATGCAAACATGAAATAACTTAAATGCGGAGAGTAACAGTTTCTACTTGGGTATCTTGATGTTAAAGACCTCGCTCTGCCGTTCGATAGGGTTTTTGTGGTTTTTAATTTTTGACAATTTTTTGTCTTTGAAATTCCGCATACCTCACGAAATTTATCCGTGAGCAAAAATGAGCAAAATTTGAATATTCAAACACGTTTTTTTTAAGATGGGTCGGTCGAAATTAGACAGAGAGAGAAGAAAACAAAATTTGCTTAGAATTTCATCAAAATTTTAACTGTGCAGTTTGTTTTGCGCAATCCAGAACCAAAATTTTACCCCAAAAATGGGTCATTTTGACGTTTTTTGGTTAATCTAGAATTGCGCTAAAGCTACCACGTTAAATTATGCCAAATTAATACCAAAGGAGACTTATACAGTCCAACAATGTTCGAGATGGTAAAATCTCCAAAAATCTGTATAAGAGAATTGATTTTTGCTTGATAGCCAAAAAGTATCATTTTGACTATATAAAACTAAAAATATTTGCTTATAAACAAATTTTAAACATTCGCCTGTCTTGGAGTTTTTACTCTTCCAGATTGTTGTTGGGCTGTGTGAGAGGCTCTTTTTGGTGTAAGTTTTACGTAAGCGTGGTCTAATTTTAATCTATTTTGAGAAAAACGTGTTTGAAAACCCAAAAAAAAACTGGATAATTCAAAAATCAGTACAGTACAGTTGCATTTCATCAGATAGTCTCGATCTATACCGTTGTTTTCTTTAGTTTTTTTGTTAGCTATAGTATATATTTGGGCGTTTTAGCGTACAGTGCAGCACAGGCGGAGCTGTTTGAGCTGCGGTCTCGACTGGATGAAGAACAGAGTGGAAAAAACAGTGAGATGGAACTGGTACTGGGAGACCTCGAGGTCGCAAACCAGGTATTACAACCAGTTTTTAATCCAAACTCTCAATTGTAAGAATATCGTGTATCCAATATGTGCAAACAACCATGTATTACAACCAGTTTTCACACTTTTACAACCAGTTTTCAATTCAAAGAATATCAGGTGTACAATATCTTGTGTTCTGTTTTTGTTTTTTCTTTTTCCACTTGCGAGCGTAGTATTATTACGAATCTGGAATGCCTCCTGACTTCAATAGAATTGGATCGAGGCTAGTTGTACGCGTGGCATCCAACAGCTCAATCACAGTAGTCAGTGAAAAAGTCCTAATAAGGTTTTCAAAACGTCAGAAACAATTTGAAAACCAAGAGAATTGACAAATGTATCTTCCTTTTTTTTTCTGGTTAAGCCCCAACGGGACCTGGGTGGGACTCGCATACTTTTCGTTGTGTCGCACTGGAACTAAACATCACCGGGGGGGGGGGGGGGGGGGGGGGGCTTGCATGCTCTCCGCCTCTGATATCTCGCCAGGTTCGTTTTCGTGATGTTTTTTCCGCTGATCAGGCAATCCGTTCTTTCCCACGTTTTTTTTCACGAATTGTCGAGGCAATTTCCTCTCTAAACATTCTTTTCGCTTGGCTCACATCCATATCTATTTTCCTTTTTTTTTGGCTCGCTGCTTTCGACGCTCATGCTAGGCTCAGCCCGCCGCTGTTTTGCAAAGTTTCCCGCATCCCATCGGCAGATAGCTGCTGTGTTCTACAGGTAGTGTCTGCGTTCTCATTTGCCCTTGTGTCCCTCTCCCACGCGCGCATTTCATTTCCCAATTTTCGATGTTTTTCATCTGGCTCTTTACCTCAACTTTCTATGATTCTCTATTGATTGTCGCGTTTTCAAGGTTAGTCGAATCTAATATCTCTTCAATACGTGTTGCCTTTTTCCCCGTCGTTTGTCCCATTGGCCCAGTACTACTTTTGTTGACAACATAGCTGTTAGGACCGCTCCTGAGCTCTCATTTCGATTTTGCCCTTATAGAGGTTATTCCCAGTTGTCTCCATATTTCACACAAGTTAATTCTTCCTTTCTGCATTCTTTTGAGAGTTAACCCTTTTTCGACGTTCCAGATTGTAGTCTGTCTAGACTAGCTTCTACCACACTCTGGAATATTAAAGCTATAGTCCTCTTGCTTAGTTTTGAGTTCCAAAACCACTTCTTCACTTTAGAAACCTCTTTTCACTTGAGCCTCGCGCTCTTTTTGCTTGTCAATGAAGGTGCCTAGCATCCTCGTGCCTTGGGAGCTGTCAATTGCGAGCCTATTTTCTCTTCCTTTCCGTCATGGCATTTTTACTCATATCGTCCCAGGACCTTTTTGACTTGTTCTTCCCCTGTTGGTAGCTCACTACTCAACCAATTGTTTTTGAGTCGTCAGCAAATAAAGTTTCAGTTAGTTGGAAGTAATGTCTTTTGCTGCTTCTCAAAGCTGTTATGTCGGCCGGGGGGGGGGGGGATGTTGCCTGTTATCCAAGGCCGCGTGAGTCCGTGTTTCATGCTCTCTCTTACGGCTGCTTTCCTCCTTTCTTCGGCTGTTTTATCGACGGCTGATGAATGGTAAATGTTAAAAAGGACAGGCAAAGTAAGTAACGTATCCCTCGCGAAGTCCTCTCGCTCATGCCTCCTTTCCGCTGGACTCTATACGTTGTTTTTTCGTGCAGTGCTTCATACACTTTCATGATTTTTTCCGACAAGCCCAGGTTCATAAGGATCTTCAGCATAAGTAATGTTTGTCAATGTCTTCTGTGATTCGCAAAAAAGCTACTTTAAAGCTCAATTTAACTAAAACTGGAGAGATTCATGATAATAAACATGAACAGGTTATGAAGCTCCTCCATTTTTACAGCCATTGCTAAGCTTTTCCTCGCTTATCTGAGTCTCTATAAGGTTTTCCGAAAATATCTAAGCTGAGTGTAATCGGGATCCGATAGAGTCTGGAGTACTGCAAGATTTGGGCTTGGTTACACTTCTCTACAGGATATATTATGCTTGGTATTATCAAGAGTTAACCAATCGGAATATAGTTTATCTTCGTGTAAACATTGTCTAAATGAATCACCTTTCAATTTTTCGGAAAACTAAATTTTCGCTAACGAAAACACATTTGAGCATGTCTGCGTTTTAAATACCTGATCACTTCGAAATTTGCGTCGTTCGCTGAGCCAAAAAATATATGTGGTTGTGTGTTTTGAGGAGAATTTTTTCGATGTTTTATCAAAATAATTTTTTTTAACCAAAACAATTTTTTTATCGACATGACAAGCAGAGCGTAGTGTGATTGTTCGATTCAAATTTTTCCGATTTAAGTTGCAAATAAAGTTGCGACTTTTGGTAACACTTTTGAAGGAGCTACTTTTGCTAAAAAATTTTGAATCAGGAGGCTGCATTGGCTGTATGGTATCATGTGCTCGGACATTTGATTTGTCATGGGTTAACACAGTTGATGCTTTTTTAATTGATCAATTGAGGCGAAAAAGCTATTCGTTTTATACAACAGTACAAAAAAGTCCAAATGCTTTTTCAACTCAGATGATATGGCGAATTTTTTGAAATGCATAATTTATACAAAATTTGGCTTAACACTTTCCGATCTGTTTCATGCAAAATTAAAGTGGTTGCCTTTAGTTAATTTCATTCCACTTTTTGCATGCAAATGTTTGTGTTTTAATGCATTTCAAAACTCCTGAATATTTAGCAACTTCAAGCTTGTGTTTGCGAAGCTGCAGCTTTGCCTCTGTGTCAAAACAGCTCAACTGGTATCAGCTCTAATGATTTTGAAAGGGACTTGTCTCATTTTCTGCCGGCTCTTGATTTGTTGAAAATAGAACTATTCATGATGTTTTTCTCTGCATATGTTAAAACTGTCGTGTTTATGTTCAGCTTTAAATACTACGCCTGTTTCGATATGGTTGATAATAACCCTAAAATATTTATTACCCTTGCGATAAGCAAGGGTATTGTAATCGGGTTCTAGACCTTTTTTCCCTTTTATAGCTTTGTTCACCGGATCTCCACTTTCAAGATCTGCATTTTCAGCAAATAGCACTTTTAACACCTAAAGTTACTGTGTCTACGCTTAAAAATTTCTCTTTGAAAAGCAAGAACTTTGAAGCGATTTTGTTAGATTTTTTTCTGATGTATTTCGAAGATAATTTTTTGTTCTGATGGTGTGTGCAGTAATCTGATCACAACTTAGTGTCGAATTTCATTTTGAGCAATTTTATTTCAAAACTATTCAATATGGCACAGCGCATTGTTTAAATATTCAATTAGTTAGTCCAAAAATAAAAATTCGAAATTAAGTTTCCGGAAAACTTTTTTAAGTTTTGACTTGATTTTTGTCTACGAAGGTATTCGGCGGCTGTTGCATGACCTTTAAGAAGTGTGTCTGTTTCTAGTACAAATGTTTTGAAAATTATGAAGTTCGTTAGTTTTTAGTGAATTTTGAAATTTTCGGATTCTCATTTTCGGACCGAAACCTCACTTTTTTCTTATCCTTTCAATTTAATCGTTACCAGAAAAAAAATGACTGGAGTCTGTGTTGGCTGAATCATCTATTTTTTTGGTAATTGAGTTTTTCAAGTTTGCAGCTGACGTTTTCTTCAACATAATTCATTTAATTATTTATTTTCGTACGAGTCAGTTGATCTTTCGAACTTTGGCATGTAGTTTTCTATCGCAATTGATGCGAAACTCTGCTTCGTCCCTGAAATAGTATCTGAAGTGAAGTTTTGTCTCATATCATGTAATGACTGTTCCCCAAAGATATGTACTTGATGAAAATTGTCAAACCAGTTTTTCGAAAGCAAAATTTAAACGACCCCAAAATTAAGTTATAGCGAACTTTGGCATGTAGTTTTCTATCGCAAGTGATGCGAAACTCTGCTTCGTCCCTGAAATAGTATCTGAAGTGAAGTTTTGTCTCATATCATGTAATGACTGTTCCCCAAAGATATGTACTTGATGAAAATTGTCAAACCAGTTTTTCGAAAGCAAAATTTAAACGACCCCAAAATTAAATTATAGCGAACTTTGGCTGGTAGTTTTCTATCGCAAGTGATGCGAAACTCTGCTTCGTCCCTGAAATAGTATCTGAAGTGAAGTTTTGTCTCATATCATGTAATGACTGTTCCCCAAAGATATGTACTTGATGAAAATTGTCAAACCAGTTTTTCGAAAGCAAAATTTAAACGACCCCAAAATTAAATTATAGCTGCCTAACATAGCGTATTGGGTTTCTGTCTTGAGGTTCCGGCGGCGTTAATTCGCCAGACTTGTGGAGGCTGAATAGGGGTAAACCGCTAACGCAATAATTTTGCAAGGTTTTGTTTATATATACGCTTTACACGAATGTAAAATGAAGTGAAATGTTTACCGCAATTTCCAATTCTACATACTTTTTAGACACTTTACATTAAAAATTTGCGGTGAAGCGTATGTCGACCCTGTTTTTTCTGGTTGTTTTTGACTCCCAGAAAAATGCCTGTCATGAAAAAATCTTGAAATCAGTCGTTTTTCTTTGCTTTCGTTGGGACCATGTACAGTTTTCCAATTTTCTGTTGGCTGTGTTTTTATTTGATGCCATTGAGTATCTGTTTTTTATGCTGTACTAATTATCTGTTCGTGCAATGCATTTATGATTTGGCATTAAGCTTAATGGATTTCTTGTAGGCTTTTAAAAGGGGTGATTAGGCATAAAAATCGTTGATTGAATCGATGCACGTTCATACTCTAGTCTTCAAATTTGCATTTTATTGCAAATAGCATCCATTTAAATCGATTCCCACGACGCAGGAAAACTCATTGGAAAGGGATTATAATCTGATGAAATCAATCTTTTCCCCAGCAGAAAAACCGATTTGTTCAACTGTGTTGATTTTTTTTTCAGCTCCGTATTATCAACGCTAAAATCATGTTGTATCGTTTGTTATATGCATGGCAGTTAAAAGAATAGAGCAAAAAAGAGCAATTCAACTGTATATTTTGGTATCAAATCGACAAGAAATTATACTTTTTTCCGGTGGAATTTTTTCAAATAAATGTAAAATGGAGAAGTTTTTAGAATTGCTCTTAATGTTGAGAAAACTAAAAATTATCGTTGGCTTAACCAGCCTTAGGTTTTTGGGCGTTCTTGGCACACCGCAGTTTTCCGACCGCAGTTCTTAAATAATAATGAATGTATAATTCACCTTGCAATTGATACGCTTTGAACAAATGTCAATCGATATTGACTAGAAAAACTTAGCATTAATTTTGCTTGAATTTGTTGGGTTTGATAGAAAGTGCCCTGCTTTGCTTAATTAGTGAGACACATCCCCTGGTAATTTTCGACCTCCCACAAATTGAGTACTGACGAGTAGTTGGTTGCCACAGATGAGCTTCAAAGCTGTCAACTGAAATGATTATTTTTTTGCAGAAACTGGCTGCAGCAGATAAAGAAATCTCGGATCTGCACTCGCAATTGTCGGAACTGAAGACCATGGCCGCCTCACACGAAGGCCATCTATCATCAGGATCCAATGATAATGAAGCGATTGAAGAGGCGTTCCAGAGATATGCCAACACCAGTCTGGAAGCAGAACTGGTCGCAAAAGAACGGCAGGTGGGTCATTGTAATCATATCTTCGAATTCTTAGAAAACAAGCCTACAGTGACTTCTTAATTTAATATGATCAATAAACCAATTGAATATGAAGCATATCAGTCGTAATTGAATTAGAAAAAACTGGCGGAAATATATTAAAAGGTTTAGTTGAAATGGAGACAGGCGTTTCTCTTAAGCATGTTTCGAATTTCATAGCAAGAGTACCGAAATATGGTTGGGTGAGAGTTTGTTGTGATCTTATTTTAGCATGCGTTATAGGCTCACTTTGATATTAAGGAACAAGACATACGACCCCCTTACGCAATTGACTGTCAAAAGCATTCAAGTCGTGAAAAACAGCTTCTGTTACCACCGCTTAGGCACGTCGATCGGCACAAGCTTTCATGTGTTAAATGTCGTTTTTCGAACATGCACCGAAAGTGTCGAGCAATTCTTCGATAAGAAATTTTTCCAAAATTTCATAAGGTTTTCTGCAGAACTTAAGCGAATTTTCTAGAGGTCACTTTTTTTTGCTTTTGGTAGGTCGTCGCCTTGCAGCCTTGCTTACCCTAATTTTTTTTAGTGTTGTAGTTGTTGTTGCCTAATTTAGTTATCCTATTGAATATGATTAAATTCTACGTTCAGATTCTCTCTCACGCCAGGAAACAACGCAGTTTAGAAAAAAAAGACTTTTTTAAAAAGTTTTTTTTCATTATTGTGGTCTTAAGCGGTTTTTGCACAGCAACTGGTTGTCCTTGTTTGTTTATGCAGATAGAGCAGCTGGTGGATGAGAACAGGCGGCTGAGTGGGAGTGTGGCTAGTGGGAAACAGAGTCTGGAGCTGCAGAGACACAGACACCAGCAGGACTACTCTGCCCTGGAACAGCAACTGGAGGCTATGGTCAGTCTTAGTACATTCACTGTTCAACATGCAGTATAAAGTTTGGATTTATAATGGCTGAAGCACGCGATTTTGCTGTTTTGGACCACCGTTAAGTAAATCGGTAGAAAAACTGAATAAAAAAGATGTTCATGCCAAAATGGGCTCTTTTTGCAGTTAATGAGCATGACATGTCTTAATTGGTTCCTAAAACGTGAATTTGAACAGGATTTTAAAAATTTTGAAAGGTTGCAACGTCCCCAGTATAGATAGGTCTTGGCGGTTTTTTTTGTTTTTTTTTGCAGTTTGATTTTTCATTTTTGTTAAAGTTCTTTTCCTCCGTTAAAAGGAGACAAACTCCACTATCGAACAGCGAAAGTCTACAAGTCACGAAAAACGTGACCGAATTCTAATTTCTAAAATGTAATTTAATTTTCAGGTATGAAATTCGAAGGTTTTGAGATTTTTTCATAAAAAGTATGTCAATATATTTTTTATTGTTGTCATGAGTTCATGACTCTGTTCCAAATTTTCGTTGGCTATATATTTTTCCTTCAAGGAAAAAGTCTGTTTTGTGCACGCTGCAGTTTGAGTTTTTACGGGTTTTAAAGTAAATCAATCATTTTTTATGGTTTCCTTTTTCATTGACATTGACATCTATGTTTTATTTATATCAACGCCCGAAATGTTGACTTTTCTTGATATAGCCTTTTCGATTTGGTGGAAAATGTCGAATAGCTGGTTTTGTATCTAGAATTTCCAAAAACATTTGAATTCGTGTCGCATGCTATTCTGGTAAAAAAAAAACTAGCTTTGATTGGGTTTGACAAGTCTTTGAAATTATTCATATCATACTGGGCGGACCGAACACCGCGAATTAAAATCAATAAAACACTGTTATCAGCAGAGTACCACAGGGCAGTGCTCTCGGAAACTTATTATTCTTGATTCTTACAACGACATGTTAGATTTACCAATAAAAATTGTTTTTATTGCTTCGCGAATGATTCTAAGCTCAATGCATACCATTCCCTTGTTTTCAGCAAACTGCATGCATATAATAATAGTTCTAAAGTTGGGGTCGGCCGATGATGAGCTAGTTTTTAATATGTCAAAACGCGGAGTTTTACCGATAGGTATGAAAGATCAAGCTCCAATTGTTTTGGTTAATAACGAGATCTGAATTCTTAATTGCCACACAGATAAAGGACTTGGACCACACAGATAAAGGACTTGGACTTATTTGTAAGCTTAAATGGAATTTTCATGCCTATCTTTTAACGACCAGCGGCGTAGTTAACCGAGAAATAATCATATTTTTTGTAGTTTTCAATTTTGATTGATCGCAGTTTCAATGTTTTTGCAAACTATGGTCAAACTGGTTTTTTCAGGAGAGAAATAGCTGTCATAAAAGGTCGAAAATTTTTTCAAATCTTTCGAAAATATCCTGCTTATGCCTCTGTTAACTTTGATCCGTCATAAGACTGACAAAGATCTACTTTTCGCACGTAAATGGTAAAATAAAGGAGCATAAATGACTGACGAATTGTGATGATTAAGATACGTTGCAAAAGTGCGGACTCTTTTTGTAGGTCGCGATGATTTTTTAAAGTTTTTTTTCAGGAAAAGTCTTTGTTCAGGCTCTTGTTTACTTTTTCGCGGTTTGACATGCGAGTTTTTTTTATTTCAGTTCATTTCTTTTGTTAAAAGGAAGGAAAGCTCCACTATCGAACAGCAGAAGTGTAAAAGTCACGAAAAACGTGATCGGCTTCTATTTTCGAAAGTGAAATATAATCTCAGGTTTCCCAGCGAAATATAAATTTTACTTATTGATCCATTTGTCTCAAATTGGGCTTAAGTTGTCGAAAAATTGCCAATCATAGGTTATTCCAGAAATTCAAAGAGCTTCAACAGCATCTATTTTTTTCTTCGAAAGTTCGCTAGTCACAAGTCAGTATTTTTACTGTTTATTTGCGTTCACTGACTCTTCCAACTGTCTGTTGGCTATGTTTGAGTTTTCTGTGTTTAGAAGGAGAAGTTGCATCAGCAGCGGGATTACGCGGAGATTAAACGAGAGTTGAAGTGAGTAGATTGCAATACACTTTTGTTTACACAGTCTTGAGGTTTTTTGATGCTGATCAAAATAATTATTGGATATCAGTTTCATTTCTCGGGACAACAAAAGCGTATAAAAAGAGTCCAATGACTGCGCTATGAGAAGAAATACTGATATACTGTTTTGATGATACTTGATTCTCTGGTTGATGAAATAAGTCAAAGAGATTCAGCAATATGACTCAGAACTTCAATATTGTGGATGAATTTGACTAAGGAATTGTCTATCTATATAGAGTCTGCCAGTATGTTGCTGGAAATTGAAAATTTTGAACCCCCTCGAAAAGGCTTAGAATTTACTGATTATTTGATTTTTTTCCCCAGTATCATGAAGTCAGTAGAGTTCGGATTCGCAAGCACGGGTGAGGAAACGACTGGCCAAGACAGCAATACCTCCAGCTCAGCGACGCCAGATCTTATTTCAGGCTCAGTTGTGAGCAAACAGTCACTAGAGCTACTCCTTCTAGAGAAGAATAAGAAACTTCAAAACGAGGCTACTAACTTGAGGAACAGCAATGCATCTCTTCAAGGTGTGTATGTCATGGTGCTGTGCAAATTGTTATATGAAGTACAGGTTGTATATAAACCGACCGAAATTCAAACCAGCTATCATAAAAACAAGCCGAAAGCACGTATCTGTTACACAATAATTATAAAGCAATTATGTCTCCACAATTACGAAAGACGTACGAGGAATGATGCAACTTTCGGCTGGTTCATATACTCGCAGACATTTTCAGCAGGATTATACTTCAGTTGGTTTATTCACACTCGAATCACCCACACTATTTAGAATCTCAATAGTAGTATTTAGCAAGAATCGTTATTTTGTCGAACATGGAACAATGACGTTCCGGTAGTTCATTGATTTAGCAAGAATCGTTTTTTTTGTCGAACATGGAACCATGACGTTTTGGTAGTTCATGAACCGACCAATTCGTTGTTTTCATGGTTGAAAAGTAATGGCATGTTTTGTGTTTGCGTTATTTGTGGTTTAATTACACTAGCGTTAGCTTTGTGTATTGTTACGAATCTTCTTTTTTTTTCTACCCTAACTCGCAAAAAAAATTGTTCACTTATTTGGGATTTTCACTGTAGCATTGGAAATTGCATAGCATCTGTTTAAAAGTAATGAACGTAGTGAAGACTCTTAAATAGGTCTTGCTGATTTTTTTTGTTTTTTTTTTCAGGAAAAGTCTTAAAAGTCTCTAATAACTACAGTGTGCATTCATACTTATTGATGCATTTATGAATGCACTTAGGTATATATGCACTTTTTGAGTTGAATTGAAATTCTGCTAAAAGTGACGTAAATAGCATTCTTCCAATACGAACGTGGAAATGGCGCAAAAAAACGTGAACGATATCTAGTTTCGAAGTGAAACAATTTTTAGATTTCCATTGGAATAAAAATTTTGCCTATCGTTCATTACTGTTTTCCAATCTTCGATTGGCTATGTTCTCTGCTTTATCTGTGGCTAGTGTTTGGCTAATATCTCTTTAGCTTCCGTGCTGAATACTTAGAGTCTAGGCCGCGGTTTCGAATCTCAGACGTAGTCGATTTTTTTTTGCTAATTCGAGGTTTATTTCTGTCTTTTCTTATTGCCATTTATGGAGCTGCTTTTTTATCGTGTTCTGGCTAGTGTTTTCGAAGCGAAGTTTCGCCTCTGTGTCTAAAAGTACTGAGGATCATGTTTCAAACAATTTCTCAGCTCATCTTAGATAAAAATTAAGTTTATCTTTTTGGAAAAAATAGAAGGCATGAGTCACAGAAATTATAAGTTTGGTTGAAACGAATATGCATGACTGTGATTGTAGAAGTACCAAAATAAACTAACATTTTTGATCGGTTAATTTTAAAGTAGTATGTCATGATTTTCTTTTCAACCAACCTTTCAGGTGACTCAGCCGACCAAGGATCCAACATTATCGCGTCTAATTCGCTCTCAATTAATGTACAGAATCCATTATTCTTGAAATCACAAAATAACCAGTCGCTTAACGTTCAAGTTCAATCTTCTTGCCAAAAAGGTTTGAATCTAACTTCAAATCGAGTTACTCCAATCTTACTTCGAGGAGCAGATGAAGGGATTCCAACGTCGAGGAATTTTCCGTTCAACTTTGGAGGAAGTCGAGATTATAACGAAGATTCAGACCTGGAAAGTTTGACGTGCAATTCGGAATCGAGTGCGCAGTCGGGAGTCTTCGGAGGAGCTGCAACGTCGCTAGAATTGTTCAACCCAGCACAGATTGCAGAGAAGGTATCGGTGGAAATCCAGGGTTTGGGAGTGAGTGTAAAGGCGGTTTCTCGCGATCTCAATTTGCCGAATTTGCGAGTGTTGATCGAAGAGCCGAAACTGTTTCACGAGCTGTCGCAGATAGAGTTCTATGCATACTTGGATCTGCTAAAGTGGCTTCGAGAGCAAGAGGCAGCTAGGGGTGAGTAAATGATTCTAATTGATTGAAAACAAAGTGATTGAAAGTTTAAAAAAAAACAATTTGACCGAGATGTTTCTTTATGTGACCAACAGAAAGAACCAAATATTACATTTGAATTAATGAAAAATCTCGGGAAACTGATATTGATTTAGTATAAGACTGAGATGTAAACTTTTCAGTGGCATCAATTATTCGGAGAAGTATTTAGCTATGACTTGATTTTTTTCCAGAAGAGCAAAATAAGCCGAAATCTGATGAAGAAACGAACGAAGCTATTCAAAGAATCCTCGCCTCTGCCAAACAAGAAATGGCTGCATCGCAAAGTTCTACTGAGGAACAAAGTAAACAAGGAGCAACAGATAATGGAATTGAAATTAAAGACATCAAAACTGAAATAGTTGAAATAGAACCGGTTGAAACGAAAGTTGCGGAAAGTTCTAGTTCTGCTATCACAAACAACGAGAAAAGTCCCGTTTTGGGAGAGGAGTTCAGTATAGATGCTTCTAGTTCTCGTGAAGAGTTTACGGAGACTGACGCTATGACGTCGGCAGGAGTTCCTGGAGATAATGACGAGGTCACGTCTAGGAGTATCTGGAGGAAGTGTCCTAAGGTACCTGGATCTCGACTGACTGTGCTGGCCCAGATGAGGAGAATGTTGTTGACTCCTCTCACTCCGTCTGATGTGTCCAAGTACTCGAATTGCGACACTCAGGTAGATGGTAGTTTTATAATTACACATAAGAATAATGCTGAATCGGTGTTATTTAATTCTCTTATTTGTCAGGCTAAGCGAAGTATCTTTGCCAGGCTCTTTTGGTCAATGCGATTGGTTTCTTTGGCAGCCAAATGTGTCTGGGTGGGATCTTGAGTTTCTGTTTTAAAAATTTTTGTTCAATTAAACTGTATTAAGTTTGTTGCTCGGAGATGATATTCGTAAAACTTTCGTTTATTAAGAGTAATGAACGTAGTGAGGACTCTTATATAGGTCTTGCTGATTTTTTTTGTTTTCTTTTCAGGAAAAAGTTTTAAAATTTGTTCACGCTCAATTTTGATTTTTCGCGGTGATTTCTTTTTAAGTCCAGTGCATTTCTATTGTTAAAAGGAAGGCAAACGCACTATCGAACAGCAAAATTGTAACGGTCACGAAAAACGTGATCGACTTCTAATTTCGAAAATGGAAATTAATTATCAGATTTCCCAGCGAAATAAAAAATTTACCTATTGATCCAGTTTTCTCAAAATGGGTTTCTTTAACAACAAAGTGTCCATCATAAGTTGTTCTACAAATTCAAAGAGCTTTAAGGCCATCTATTTTTCTATTCGAAATTCAAAAGTTGAAGATTTTTGAAAAAACTAGTTGATTTTTTTTTCAGTTTCCTTGCGTTCGTTACTCTGTCAGTTGGCTATGTTTGATCCTTTCGGAGTTAATACTATTTTTGACTGATTTTTTATTGCAGATTTTGGCTGAGAAAGTGCGTCGTATACTCGAGAACAACTCGATCTCCCAAAGAGTGTTTGGCCATTACATCCTTGGAATGTCGCAGAGCTCAGTGTCGGACTTATTACTGCACCCAAAACCATGGGGACTGACAACCAGCAAAGGACAGGTGCGAGCATACGTAAAATATTCCCTGATTTAAGAATTAAAATTTTGTTTGAGTTATTTAAAATACTATTTACTGTTTTCGATTGCGAGAGCAAGTAATTTAAAGTTCTTTCAACTATTCAGTTGTCAATTGTGTTTTAATCGTTTCGGCTATGTTTTCTTCAACAAATATAAAGCGCTTCGATGTTTTTTCGCAGAATATGTTTTAAATACACATCTTTTGTGTCACCAATCGATTTCAAATCCCCAAACTGTCACCAAACTAGAATGGAGTCATATAACAAGTTCGTTCATAATACAGGCGTCCTACATCAGAATGCAAAAGTGGCTCGAGGACAGCTCCGGTGTAGAAAGACTGAAACAACTTAACTCGAATTTCCTCAGCGATGTCTTGTCAAACATGCAGCAAATATCTGAGAAGAAAAACACGCCAAATATGACGAACGACTCAATTAAGACCAACAACTCAACCCTTCAGGCTCGTAGCAACAACTCAGCAATACAACAGCTGCCAAAAGTGCAATCGGTATCATCAGTCGCCGCCCCGAAAGCGACTAGAGAAGTTGTCCTCAATGTTCCGAAAATTACTCCTCCGAGAATTCTACCTAGACCGGGTCCGACTGTTATCAGATCGGAATCAGATTTGAATGATTTCTTATTGTTCAACTCGCTAAATACAGAATCAAGCAGGGTGGAAAAAATGAGTACAGTACGTGCAAATAGATATTGTCATAGTTTGAAATTGGCGGAGGAGAAAGCACAAGCTCTGAGGATGTCCAATTCGACTTCGCATAAGTTGCAGATACAAGCGAAGAGCCTTCACATTATTTCTTCATGCAACGTCAAGAGCACAAAACGTAAGTTAAAATGCTCTAAAACTGCGTTTAAAAAAGCCAAGCAAAACCTGCGTTTTTATTTTAAGAGGCTTACGTGGTGACAATTCGAAACTTGTTGAAATTTTATGATACAAGTGGCTTTATTTGTGGTATTTTTCAGCACGTCGTTCGATTAAACTCACGGATGAAATCTTCGACAGTTATTCACTTTACGGACTCGACACTTTAAGACTAACAGACCAAGTCAAAGTTCTTATGTCAACCAGATCGATAGGCCAAAAAGTGCTGGGAGAAAATATCTTGGGTCTCTGTCAGGCTTCAGTTTGCGACTTGCTGAACAAACCTCGACCTTGGAGGGGGTTGCATAGAAGAGTGAAGGAAGCATATATTAGACTGCAGATATGGGCCAATAACCCGACTAGTTTTCCTCTGGTGGACTCCTTTGGGGATTCTGTAGTACCGCAGCCGCTGTCGTCAAGTGAAGGTTAATAGTAACTAACTTCGAGATTTTTCTCGGTTTAACAGACTGATTATTTACACTTAGCAGCTTGCGAGCGTATGTGTAATAGTACGAACTTTTTTTGTTCTAACGTAACTCGCAAATAAAAATAATAATAAAAAGTGTTCACTCATGAAATTTTCACCGTAACATAAGAAATTGCGTAGAATCTGTTCTCTGCTTTATTTGTGGCTAGTATTTGTGGATTATTAAGCGTCCGTAGCTGAGTGTTTAGTGTGTGAGACTCATAATCTCTAGGTCGCAGGTTTGAATTCGAGACGTAGCCGATTCTTTAAACTAATTTGAGGCTTTTTTCTACTTTTTATTGCAGTTTATAGAGCTGCTTCTTGTCATATTCTCGCTAGTGTTTGCGAAACGAAGGTTTGCCTCTGTGTAAAAACATAAGGGATTAAACAAGTGTCAATTCACGTAGTTAAAACACTTAAAAAGTCTTGATTATTTTTTTCTCGTTTATTTTAGCGGGAAAAGTCGTAAAAATTCGTTCACGCTCAAGTTTAATTTTTCGCGGTTTAATTTTTAAATTCTTAAGTTCAGTTCTTTTCCTTCGTTAAAAGCTAGACAAATGCCGCCATCGAACAGCAAAAGTTTAGAGGTCACGAAAAATGAGAACGACTTCTAATTTTGGAAGTGGATTTTAGTTTTCTGTTTTTACCAGCGACATTAAAATTTTATCGACTGATCCAGCCTAGTTTTCTCAAATTGGGTTATTTTCATCGAAAAAGTGTCATAAATGGTTTTAGAACTCAAAAGAGCTTTATGACCATCTATTTTTGTCTTTGAATCATGAAAGTTGAGATTTTTCCAAAAAAAAGAAACTCAATATTTTTTCTGTACTTGCGTTCATTAACTCTTTTACAAGTTTCTGTCGGCTGGCTATAAAAATTGCCGTTGGATCAAGTTTGTTCTAAATGGGATAATTTGGAGAAAAAAGTATCAATTATAAACAATCTAATTCATGTTCTTTTTATTTTCACGCGCTAGCGTGCAATGCTATGCTTGCTTTGTATTGCAACTGATGCGAACCTCCGATTTGCCTCTGTTTTTTAATAGGCATGGAATTCTTTGAATTTCAATGCTATCATTCGTCTGCTTATTTGTTACCGGTTTACTTTCCAAAACGCCTTGAACCATGAATCTTGAAAGTGGATTTCAATTTTAAGTTTTCTCATTGCTATTAGGTTTTAATAAAAACATTTAGGTTCATCAACTGGCGTCTGCACAAATTTTTGCAGCTAAGTATTTGCTCGTTAAAGGATTCGGAATATTGGCTATGTTTGCTCATTGTATTTTTGAACATACATGGTTGCTGTGACCTGCAGTATGGTGCATTTTGTCAGGCAACTTTTTTTCATCATAAGATCTGGTGTTTTCAGCAGTTAATTGGTTTTCGCTTTTGTTCGCGAAGTGCATCCTTGACTCCCAGTTTTTGGCTTATCCATATAAACTACAACTCGTATAAAAAATGCATATTCTATTAAGTGTTTACGAACAAGCTTAGATGATATTCAGGTCGCGTTGTTTTTCCAGGGTTTCAGGATTGTCTGTTTACTATGTTATCAGTTTTGTGATATGTTCAGGCTGTCTCAGATAATTGTCTTGAAACTCAATGTTATTATACTTGCGAAGCGAGTGTTTTAGTACGAACACTCGCGAAGCTCGCGAGTGTTCTAGCAAACATTGGTGCCACTTTTGGGGCACCTTTACAGCTTTTTCATTGCATGTGCTTTGATATTTGAATAGTAAGAAGTTAACACAGTAGATGAATTTTCAATTAATCAAATGAGCCGAAAAAAGTGATTTGTTTCAAATAGCATAACAATAATGAAAACTCGATAAAATATAAATCGCAATTTTTTGAAATGCTCAATTTATACATAATGTGGCTTTGTGCTTTGTGATTTGTTACATGCAAAGTTAGTGTGGATGCCTTCACTTTGTTATATTCCAAGTTATTGAGTCTATTTGTTTTTGGTGCCACTTTTGCTGACTTGTGATTTGTTACATGCAAAGTTAGTGTGGATGCCTTCACTTTGTTATATTCCAAGTTATTGAGTCTATTTGTTTTTTGTGCCACTTTTGCATTGGCAATTTATTAGCATATGTAGCTGCTTTATTCGTGCCAAGTGTTTGTCGGTTGTAGCGCTTGTGTGGCTGATTGGATAGTGCGCGAGATCCAAAATCTCTTGATTGTAGTCGGCCGCAGATTCGAATCCTACACAGCTGAGTTTCTGCTAATTCGTGGCTTATTTCTACCTTTCCTTATTTCACATGATAGAGCTGTTTTCGGTCGCGTTCTCGTAAGTGTTTGCGAAGCGCAGCTTCGCCTGTGTATATTTTGCTTCTGTTTTTCAACCGAGCTATTAAGTACAGCCACTGTTTATATTAAAAATAGAACTTTAGCTTCAAGGTATCATGGATTTGTAGCGTAGAGGTAGGAAAGAAGACCCGCAACAAAATAAGAGGGTTCGAATCTGGGCTGGGTTGGATATGTTGAATGAACTTTTTGGTATACTAGTTAAAATGCGTCCACTCCATAAATTGAGGCATGTTAATTGGTAATTTTTTTCTTCAAATTGACTAGTACTGCTAATGCGTCATAATTGGCTTGCGTCACTTGGCAATTATGTAGATTCATAATTGGCGTGCATCATTGGAGAAGTTTTGCAGACTCAAAATTTTACTAATTCAGTTTTTCCCAGTAGCGTTATCGGTCATATTTTCGCTGGTGTTTGCAAAGTGCAGCTTCGCCTCTGTATTAAATTTTTGTATCGCAATTTTTCTATCGCCTTTGTTTATGATATTAGATTTCAGCTCAGTTTTAGTGGCGTGAAAGATTTAGTTTCCATTACAAGTGGCGTGAAAATATAAATGTGAATCAAAGAATAAGTTACTTCTAGCGTTTTGACTCAGAAATGTCGAATAAGGCAATGTCGATGAATGTAGTTCAGACTCTATATAGGTCGATGTTTTTTTCAGGAAAATTCTTGGACTCAAATTTACTTGTTCGCGGTGTGACTTGATTTCCTTTTAAGTTTTACCATCGGACAGCAAAAGTGTTAAGGTCTCGATAAACGTCATCGACTTCTAATTTGAAGGTGTAATTAAGTTTCCAGATTTCCCAGCGGAGTAAAAAGTTTACCTAATAATTTAGTTTTCTCAAATTGGGCTTATTTTGAAAAAAAAGTGGCATTCATGATTTGTTCTAGAAATTCAAAGAGCTTAAAGACCATCTTTTTTTTTCTTTGAACTTCGAGGGTCTTTCGAGATTTTTTCATAAAAAGTAAGTGATTTTTTTTTGTTTACTTGCGTTCAATGACTCTTCTGCAACCTTTTGTTGGCTATGTTCTAGTATCCAGTTTTGATCAGAGGACATCTCTATTTACTAAAAATTAGAGATGAAGAAAATTAGAGAAGATAAAAACACGATTTATTCAGAAGTTTTCAAAATGAAATCAGAAATTCACCTGCGTGGTACTGTCTAAGAAGAGTGATGTTTGGTTTAGATAGATTTGTTTTCCATTTTGTTTTTGGTAAATTTAGTCTTAAAATTTTGAATTGTTTTGCAGATTCAACAAGGATGCCAAAAGTGTATGTAGACGGACCTCCATCCGCCAAGCGAGCAAAAACAGTGGACACAAGTTGCAGCACAACCAATGAAAAAACAGCTCCCAAAAAGACAACGAGCTTCAGTGACGCAACAATTCAACAACTAGCTTCTTACGTCGACAAAATGTCGCCCGATTCCCAGAAATCACCTGCATCAGGCGAAAATAGTATAATGACAATGGATAATTGGGATTCGAATGTATCACAAATCAAGTCTGCAAATGACGCTAAAGTTGAAGCGGCAGCCGCGGATTTCGTCCGAAGTTATTTGAGTGCTGACGACAACGACGAAAGCGGAAATGGATTGCTAAATGCGCTGGGATTAGGCGATGATAGTTCAAGCGAGTTTGATAGTCTAAACTGCTTTGACCTTGAAAATAGTCCGAACACGGCGGTTGTTCAACCGAAATCTCCATATAACTTTTTGGGAACTGTAACTGAAAGCAATGAATTTGGGTCAGACTCGATTGGTATTTCACCCAACTTAGAAATACAAGTTTCTTCAGTGCAATCGAAAAATGTCTCTGTTGATAAGCTAGATTCATGCTCGAGATCGAAAATTGAAGCTAAAAAAGAGAAAACTTTAACTGGCGATAATAATGAAAACGGGATATCAGAGTCAAGTCTTGGAAATAATGAAGGCAACAGAAAACGAAAGGCTAGAATTGAGGCTTTAGAAACAACATTAAAGTTGGAGAGTGAACCATGGAATGACCAATTAGAAGCGATGAGTTTAATTTCAAAAATGCAAAGCAACTTGGCGTCAACTTCCCAAGGCGATCCTTGGGGAGATAGTACAGACTCGGATTCGTGAATACATGCCGAAATTCGTTCATCTATTCAATGCGAAAAAAATATACGAGAAACGATTTTAACAACTCTACACCAACTTGTAATTGTATTTTAAACAGTTTTAGAGCATGTTTGAGGCAATATGTCGATGTGCTAATATTTCTTAGTTTAAAGTTAAATCATTTGTTTGTAAATAAATAATGCAAGTGCACGAAGTCTTAGAATAATAATTATGGTTACAACGTTTTTTATTATAAATGAATTACTAAGTGCTTTAAGACCTAGAACGCGGAAAAAATTTCAAAACCGACCGGAATAAAAAAAGTTAATCATTGAATTAGTTTTCGTTTACTGGGTTAGTTTTGTCCGTGAAACTTCAGTCATGAAGTCGAAAGCGATATAGATTGATATAGTTGTTTCTTAGAAATCCAAAAGTTGAAAAATGTCTGTTGGCTGTGTGTCCTGGTTCAAGTTCAGTTTTGGCAGTACATGATATTAATGTTATATCCTGCGAGCTAATAGGAGTTAGGTATTGCATAGGAAAATGTTTGTCAGGCTGATAAAAAATGAATTGCCTTTTTTTTCTAAACGTCACTTTCTCGTAAAAGGAAAATTATAGGTCGTAGTTTCTATCGAATATTGAGGTTTACTACAGACAAATGCGTAACTTTACTATATTTGAATAGTAAGTATTTTGGACATATGCCAGTTGGTTGTCTGGTAATTTGTGGCACGTTGAAGTTTTTTTGACGATTCTGTTAGTTTGGAGCAGTTAAAATAGCGGTTTTGGTGAATTCCATCCTTCCTTAAACTAAAAGTTAGTTATTCGAACTTTTTTAGAGTCAATGAAGGTAGTGATGATTCTTTTAGGTCATAATTATTTTTTAGGGTAAGTCTTGAAATTTGTAAACGCTCTAATGTACATTTTCGCGGTTCGATTTTTGATTTCTTTTTAAGTTTTGTTCATTTCCTTTGTTAAAAGGAAGGCGAACTCCTCTATCGAACATCAAAAGTGTAAAGGTAGGTCACGAAAACCGAGATAGAATTCTTATATTGAAAATGGTATTTATTAATCCCCCTTTATTAACACAATTTATTGATGAATTTTTTTTTCAAATAATCTCGAAAAAATGTGGAACTTTAATTTTTTTTGGGTTCGTGGTTTTCTGCCTAGTTTCTGTCGGTTCAATTTCCGTTTTTTAAAATTGAATTCATTTTATCTGGTACTATTGTAAAGCATGAATTTTGTTTCTACTAAAATTGAAAGTTCTGTAAATTGTCTGTTTTCCTAATCTGATTTTTAATATTTTTTTTACTGATTTTTTTTTCAAATCAAAGATTTTCAATTACGTAATTTAGAATGCAAAAAATTTCCTGTTCGACAAAATTAGGTATTATGAAATCGTATTTTTTTAGGCGCTTTGGCAAATTTTTTCACTGATTGACTTTCGTAATACGGAAGCGAAAAAACGTGAACGAGTTCCAGTCTCGAAAAGGGAATTTATTTTAAAGATTTTAATTTTCAGCGGAATTAAAATTTTAACTATTGATCCACTTTTCTGAAAATGAGTTAATGTTATGAAAAAAAGGTCCAATCATAAATTGTTCTAGAATTTCTAAGAGCTTTAAGGCCATCTGCTTTTTTCTTTGGATTTCAAAAGTTGTGATTTTTTCCGCAAAAGAAGTCAGTTTTTTTCTGTTTACTTGCGTTTATTGACTTGCGTGAATTGTCTCTTGGCTATGTTATTAGAATTGCGTATGTTTTTTCTGTATACTTTTTGTTATTTATGCTGTTAAAATTATTGTTGTAGTAAGCTTGTTTTGATTTTATTTTGAAATGTTTTAAAGTGGCAATTGATCGGCCTAACGTAGCAAAAATTCTTCGACAGAAAAATTTGAATTTTTTATTGGTGAAGCTCATTTCTACAAAGAACGGTTAGTCCGGAATATTCGGATAATTTTTTCGCCCTCAGACTTCGTCTACTTTCAAAATGGTTCTCGTCAAGGAGATTAGTATCAGGCTTTCCGAATATGTTATTGGTTATTGTTCCGACTATATCACAGTGGTAAGTAAGGAATTATATGGCGTAGGATGTTTTTATAATTGGATAGATGATATCAGATAATATTTGGGGTTGTTAAAAAAGTTTTATAAATTCAATTGAAAGCTATTGTTTCGGATGAGACTTATTTTTTGTCCACTTTTTTCTAAGCAAAACTAGGTATCATAAAAAATCATCGGAATGGGTCTAGTGATCTATCATTTTAAAACCTTATCAGTTGTGATTTCAAATTTTCAAAACGTTTTTCTCAATGTCGAGAAAAACCAGTTCGAAGTTTTTGATTTATGGTTCATTTTCAAGCGAATAAAGCGAGCGAGCATAGTTAAAGTAAAAGTTTTAGAGTAAGCTTTTATTCCAGCCGTGAAGACTTAAATTTACTCCAGTAAAATTAGTTCCGATTTTTTTTGCCGCATTTTTAATTTTTTTTCTCGACGAAAACTGCTGTCAAAGGTGCCGTATTTAGTATTATCGAGCCTTTTCAAAGTATGTATTTTATCGCATCACGGACAAAATAAGAACGCCATTTTTACGACGTATTTTTTGAGCATCTTGTCGTAAGTAACCTTAGTTAGCTAGATCCTAGCGTTATTCTCCAAAATTTCAAAAAAAGAGCAAAAGAACTGCTTAACCTTGTTTAGCGAAGGATTAATCGCTGTTGCGTTAAGATCACTTAAAATTAGCAAATTTTAGCCAAACTTCTGATATGGGAAGATCAGGGAAAATATTTTATTCTAAGTTGAATGCTTATTTTGTGCACTATTTTGTCAACTTTTTAGTTTCATCAAGATTCGATATGATTCAATTTTAGGCATCCTAATTTTTCGTTTACGTAATTTCATCTTGTTTGCCAATCAATTGATTAACTTTACTTCCAAAATGTTCATGATGGTCAATAAAGAATTTGGAAATGGAATCTTCGATGCTAAAGTAGTCTAGTCAGTGAGCAATGAAAGAACTTATTTTAAACAAAAACTACCTTTTGTGGCCAAATGTTTCTTGTTTCCTTAAAATGGGCAGCTAAAAATCGATTGGCTTTAATTGCTGAGTTATAAATCAGACCTGCTTAATCTATCTATTATTTAATTGGCGTTTCACGTCGCATTTCTTTCTGAAGTCCCTATGTTGACATGCTTAAGATATTATCTTTTAGTTTTTGCATGTTTTAGGAAATAATTTTTGCACGGTTAAGCTATATAGTATATTGCAATGCATAAAAAAATTCAATTTTATGATTGATAGACCATTTGTAAGGCTGTATTGTATCTATGATGCCAGCTTGGGAGGGGGAGGGCAGTATAGTGTTATGTGTATGTGGGATTCTTCTGTCAATATCTTTGTTCTTTCACCAGTGTTTCATTTGACATATGTTTGAGAGGCCTCCCTATGTTGACCTGTTAAGAGGCCAATACATTGCAAAGTTTAAAATATTTAATCGAGTCGATCTTTTAAAATCTGCTGGAGAGTCAATGCTTCAAATCTACATTTTTACTTTACTAGCAACGCAAACTTTCAAGATTTTTGTTCGTTTATTTCACCCAATTTGAAATTGTCAACCTTATGGTGGTGTGCTGTTAGGTTATACTCAGGGGTTGCAAATCTGGCTTTCAAAAATGAATAATCAAATCCTTTCAATTTAAGTGATGTGCTATTTTTATGATTTTTTTCTCTAAAAATTGGATTAAAAAACTAATAAAATTTAAAATTCTTAACCTCATGTTGGTTGCTGTCAGGGTACACTCAGGGTTTACAAATCTGTTGTCCATTTTTTCAAATCCTTCCTTTTGGTTTCCGAGATACGGCGTTGTCTGTGTTTTTTTTTTCAAAACAACAACCAGAGTTTGATATTCTCAACCAGAGTTTGAAATTCTCAACCCCATGGTCGGGTGCTGTCAGACGCCAATCATGGGTTACAAATTTGACCTCTAAAATCTACTGTTAAAATCCTCTCGGTTTCCCAGATGTGGCGTTTCTTAAAATATTCTTAAAATATATTTTCTTAAAATATTTTTCAAAAACCATCAAAACTTGAAAATCTCAGCCCTGTTGTTTGTTTGTTGTCAGGAGGTACACTTCAACGAATAAAATTTTATCCGCCATGTTACTTGTTTAAGACTAGGGCAGCACAGCATGTGATCTCCATGGTTTTTTCAGCTGTCCTCTATGGTGCATTTTGTATAAATGTTGTTCAAACTCATCTAATGTTAATCTGTACCAGAGAAAACATTTTTCTTTTTGATCTTTTTGCCTTTTAATGTCCTTCTTCCGTTGAAATCTGATGAAATTCATTAATTTGGAGATATTACCATTTTGGTCGAAAATATCCTAAAACTTGATTTATACATCGTTGTGTTAATGAAATAGAAACCCCTGATGGATGAGCCCAGTTTAACTTTACGGCTCCATTAAATATCGCTGTTTTTGTTAAAGTTTTAGGAAGCTGTTTTTATGTTCAACGATTTCCTTGAAGCACCGTAGATGCGAGTCATGGGCTAGTATTGAAAAAAAATGAGTTTAAATGAATTTTTTCCCCTCTTTTTTTTATTTATCGAAGTAATGTTTTGTATAAATTCTGTTTTCTGTGTATTGAACAGAGCGATTATCGGTGGTTGAAGTTGAGTTGAAGATGGCCAACAGGACCACTGAGGAGCAGAGTATGTTGATAAACCAGTTAGAGAAGGACCTGTCAAGTGTCAATCAACAGTTCTCTAAGTTCAGGACAGAAGGAGACGGAGCCCCCAACCCACCACCACCCTTCTCGGTAATATTACTGCTGAACAAAATATATTCCTGTTTGATAAAAACAGGTGGTATGGGATTGGGTTTTTTTTATTAAGGAAAAGTCTTGCAGGAAAGTTTAGTTTGGTTAAACTAAATTAACTTGATTAATTAGTTTGGCGTTTATTCAGAAGAATTTTAAGTGTTAAATTTTCTTTTATTTTTTTTTGTTTTTAGATTGAAGGCAGTTCAGACTCTGATTTCACGACTGAGCAAAAATTGCTTGCAGCTGCAGTGCAAGAGAAGGTTGAAGGTATGTAGCTGATGTGGGGACTAGTTAGTTAGAAAACTCGAAAAGAATACAATTATTCAATAAAAAGTTTTGGGAACCTACAATCGTATCTTTATTTGATCCACCAATTTAAGGAAATCTGCGTTTAACATGAAAAAACGGCTGTTAAAAATGTTTTAGAGAGCGAGCCCGAAAACACGCTGCTGTCAATTGTGTCCAGTCAACGCGAGAGGTTCAAGGCACGCAACCAGGAGCTGGAAGTGGTAATTGATAGTTTTGTTCTATATCCTACTATTTACAACAGGAGGTTTATGTGCATCGGGGAATTGTTCGCGATAGAAGTACAACAGTTTATCATTAGCCAGTCAAAGTATTAGAAAATCGTAAAAGTGAGAACCTTATTGAAGTTAAATGAATCGTGATTGTTTGGAAAGTTTCTGCAATTTAAGTATTTTGCGTTACAGATTTTTAAAAGATGTGTAGTAAATAAATTTAATTTAAAAACTTGAATCTGTTAAAACTGTCAAATAAAATCTATAATTGACAAAAAAACTATATTTGGGTAATTTGCGAAAGAATGGAAGCAGATTCCGAAATTAGCAGAAATCGAAAAATTTGAATTTGTCTCTCGCTTTTCCCTCAATCTACTGCTTACTAGTGCAAAATTCATTTTTTCGAGCTGCTTGTTTGTCAGAAAATCGGCCCAGAAGCAGCAAATTGATTTTTCTGAACAAAGTTTTGAAACTAATATTTCTGTTTAACTATAGAGAGTCTCTTAAACAGATCTGTATGAAATCATTTGACAGAAAGCTGTTAAATTTTATTTATTTAAAATATTCAAATGGTTCAACACTGGACCTTATATTCTGATATTAGGTCATGAAATGTCACATCCTGAAATTGTGGCTTCTTCGGCTACGTTTTTCAAAGACCGTAGACCTCTTAGCCATCATTTGGGACTAGCGGTTGTGAGACGTCTGTGGTCTCGGGCTCTCTGTTGAGAGATGCCCACCATGATCTGTGCTTGTTGTCTGAGGGCGAGGCAACAGTTTTCAGCTCAGATTAACAAGCAGATTGGATGTTGTTCTAGCGCACTACTGAGTTACTCCGCAATGAAGTGAGAAGCGCGTAACATGCTCCTTTCCTTCGAAGATGAATGGGATTTGGTGCTAGTTGTTCAACAAAGCCAGGATATGCCAGATATCAGAAAAGTTTATATTTTTTACATTTGAAAACGACGGAAAAATATTTTATTGCAGTCTGAATACACATGGAGTCTGAGTTGGACTTACTTGGATGATGAGGTTGCTGAAAAAATTAGAGGCGACTGAAAACTATCTGCAAAATTCCACGGCGTTCTCGCAATGAGATTTCATTTTGTTGCCAATGTTCTCAAATGTTACAGTCAACTGAATCTAAGTTGCAACCAGTTTATTATTATTATGATTATTATTATTATGATCATTATTATTATTGTTAAAATTCTGTTTGTGTTTAGGAGAACAAAGGCTACCAGCAGAAGATCTCTGTTCTGAGAGGAGAGTGTGACAAGCTGAGAACTGACAATGTGCAGCTGTATGAGAAGATCAAATACCTCCACAGCTACAACCAGGTAAGCAAGCCTGGCGGGCTGGACTTGCCACTAGCCAAATACTCTGGCTTTGTTTGGGATATTGCCTGATCGGTAGCTTATCCTGGTTGTCTTTAGTTAAAGGCACTCGTTGATAGGTTCCATGACTTAAATCTCAAACAGGGTTTTCAGTTAGAGCTAACCTCACTCAAGTTTGTTTCCATATGATTGAAGATGCAACTATTGTCGTGATGTTTCAGTCGCGTAGTGAGAGTGGGGGTGGAAAGAATGACGTTGAGAACAGGTACTCGGCAGAATACGAGAATAAATTGGACCCATTCACCACCTTCAGTCAGCGAGTTAGTCTCCTTGTCCCTTTTCTTAGTTAGAAAATAATCGAATCGCTTTGTTTAAATCGCATGGGGTAAAAAAAATTCAATTTTTAAATTTCGTCAACTTAAGGGAAAAAGAATGAAAGTTTGGTTCTAAAAAGCAGGTAAGAAAGATGGGTCATGTGAATAGTAGAGACAAACAGAAAGCAATCGCGTTTTGAATCATTTTCATATCTGTATGGCTATATCAAAAGACCAATGTAAATGTCAGTGACCCAGCGACTATGTATGTACCGGCCTTTATTAACGGTCTTTAACCAGCTCAAGCCGAACTAACTTGTGAACGTAAATTTCATACTATCTTTGGTTCGGGTCTGAAAATGAAATGATTCTTATTGTTTTTAGGAGCGCCAGAGGAAGTATGCGAATCTGGCCGGGTTCGAGAAAGTGGTGCTCAATGTGGGCCAGCTGATCTTCTCCAACCGGAAGGCGCGCATCATGGCCTTCGTCTACGCAATGCTCCTTCATGCACTTGTGTTCATTGTGCTCTGGAGGTTCTCTCTAGGTGCAACCGACATCAGTACTTTCTCGCAGGAGTGTCAAGTCAAGTTAGTGGATTTTGTTTCTCGAGAAAATTCGCAAGAATTTAGCTGAAGGAAAATTTTTAGTGTTTCTGCTTGCCGGTTTTTCTGTCGTTCTTTCTTTTATGTGGCTTTTTATATTGGTTTTCTCTAGAATTTGATCGATTGGTTTGATTTTCGACAGAGCCCGTGGAAAGTCAAAAATCCAACAAGTGAAATATCGGTCATTTTTATTAGCAATATTGACTTTTTCAAGTTTTTCAAAGGATATGTACTGCTCCAACATTGTACTGCTCCAATTTTTGCTGTTAAATTGAATTTGAATACATTTTAGGACCCAAATCCCACAAATCGAACTCAAAGTTCATCGAGGTTTTTTAGATTTGCAAGTCACATGAAAGAGTTCCATGGACACAATGACGTCATGGAAGCAGCAGGACATCTTCACGAGTTAGAAGGGGGAGGGGCCGCAATGGAACACGCGCACGTGCATGCGAGGTAGTAGAGGGGAATCATACGCAAAGAAACTCCTCTTGAGTGGAAGTAATGGCAGAACGAACTAATTCATATCAGATTGAAAACGCAACAAACTTATTTGTAGTGTCTACGCCGGTTTTTTCAAAAACCTTTTAAATTTATCAAAGTGTGTAAAAAGTTTACATTCGTCGAAATCGAAAGAATTTTTGTTTCATTTTGCTTCAACTCGGCCGATTTTTGCTTTCTTGATTTCATATGTTGGGAGGAACCGAAGTTTATACGAACAAAATTCATTTTGGTGCGAACTTTTTTTTGGCCCGCAAGGTCCTACATATTAAATTTTGTATATAGTAAAACGCACAAATTACTTATTACATTCAAACTTGAGTCTAAGTATTGTGTATCCTTTTTTGGTTTTTGAAGTGTAATGGTAGATTTTAAATTTAAAATGTATCACCCACAATCTGCATTAATTCGAAATAAAGTAATTGATCATTTTTTCTTGATATAGTAAGATATAATAGTCCCGTTAGATCGGTCGATTGCCTTGCCTCCGTTATACAAGGCTTTCATTGCTAAGGATTCGCCGGCAGTTGATGGTTGGTTGAAGTTTCCAGGGTGATGCTGATTTGCCTGATGTATCAGTGTACTCTGAGTTGACTTCAGCTGGCTGATACTGCTATGTGGGGCGGAATGACTGAAGTTTACAGCAGGAGCAGTTGGCCCGTTGCTTAATTGGCTACTTGATGGAGTTCGACATCGGTGTAATTGTTGGTGGCGTGTCAAATTGTGCTGTGCTTGGTCACCGAAGGCGTCAATAAAGAGGTTTTTCACAGGGGTCATTGACCTTCGATTGATCTCTTGACCCCTAGAGCCACTTGGGGTTGAGTTTGTAGATGGCATCTTATTCGGGGAGTGCTAGAAACAAGTACATTAATCTGAAAATGTAACGGAATGGAATCTGTTGCAGCAAATAGCAAAAGAAGATGATAAGATACCCTAAAAGTTAAATCTCAATGATCAGTTCAAAAAATACGCACTGATGAAATTCCGTTTCTTTGTTTGAGATACTGTCCGTATTGCTCATGAGTCATGCTCTCATCTGGCGAAGGTTCTAGTCTCTCAGTCTCCAGACACTGGTGTGCGAAACTGTCGGTTGCGTTGCTTACGCCAACACTGTAATTCAGTTTCCCATTCTTCTGTTTTTGAGGTACGGAGATCCCGTTTTCGATTACTGCTTGGCCGTGACAGCGCGACGCTTCGCCTACCGGATCGACAACTTTCTGTGAACAAACAAGCTTCTGAGAAACAGATTGATGTAAAGATTTTTTTTCGTTTTCCCAAATTAGTGTCACATTCCGTACATTTTAAACTCAGTTGAAAGAACATTTTAAACTCAGTGACGGATATAGAAATTTTTTTATACATATTGAGGGTGGGAGTGGGGTCAAGAGCCTTTTTGTACCTTAAGTGTCTCGCCAAAGCCTGATAGCAAAGTTATATCACACCGCAACAAGAACATAAGTTTATGGATATAGCAGGATTTGGAATCTGTTCGAAGTTTGACTAGCTTACCTTGCGGTCCATGATGCGTTCTTCTGTGAAGATTGGGAAGCCCCCTCCACTCCTGCTGGCATACGGACTCTGGTACATACTCATAGTTGCAAGAGTTCTCTTACTCGCCAACATCTCTGCTTTGGCGGCCGCTTCAGCTGCAGACTGAAAAATACGCTCTCTTATTTCTTCCCACATTCGCAAAGAAGCAGCGTATTGTAACCAGGTACAAAAAAGAGCTGTAGGACTGTTACTAAGACGGCAGAAGAAAATCATTGCTCGCGTTCGGGAAGTTATAAATTGGTAATTCGTTGCATAAGGGCCATGGCAATTCCTTAATTGATCCGTATTATCTTTTCGGCCTTCAGAATAAGTCTACTCTAAACGCTAACTAATTTTTAGACGTGATAAATTACTCTAGCGAGAGCATGTGTCTTGAATCGGGAACTGATTTTCTCCCGTAATCAAATTTTTCTAAAAACCTGTAAAAAAAATTGAACTTGTTTTTTTCTAAATTATTTTCCCATTTGGCCTGGAAGTAACCCGGTTGACTTCTTTTCAAAGTTATGGGATTTAAGTTTCCGATCGGACCTTTTTTCCAGTTGAAACTGATTTTTTTTGGATAAAAATTGAATTGGACTTTTGTTTGTTTGCTTATTTTTTTTGGCTTCATTTCCAAAGCATGGCTATTTTTTTGTTCAAACTTTTCTTACTATTTTTGAAAACCGTGGTGGCGCATTTGAAAAATTAATTGCATATGCTGTGAAAAACGATTACCAACAAGTTAACTCAGTATATGCATTTTTATTTCATCAAATGAACAATAAAAAGCGTTTTGCTTCGAACAATAGTATAGTAAAAAAAATCTTTCAGAAATTTGGAAAATAAATGTATTGCTTTTATTTTTTTTAGAAATTTAGTTTCTACACAATGTTGTTTTACACGTTCCATGTTACTACATGCAAATTTAATATGTTTGTCTTTGCTTCATTTTATTCTCATTACATTCTAAATTATTACATGCAATTTTTTTTTGCTTTTTAAAGCTCAATTTTGCAGCTTTTTCCTTTGTTAGTAAAATTGCAGCTTCGACTGTGTTTCAATTTTTTCATGGTTTCAATTAAATTGAGTCGTTTTGTTGTAGGTGCTTGATGGGTATAGAGAACGCAACAGATCGAATCGCTGAATTTTTTTCTGTGACAATATTTTTTTGCAAAAAAAATCAATTTAAATTTTTCAGTGTTTTGGGCGATTAAGGCTTCGCGGTGGGTGATTAAGGCTTCCCGGTAGGCGATTTACAACAGTTGAGGTTCGGTATCTAGTTTTTTTTCCTAAATACTATAAATTTTTCCCTTAAAAATGTAAAGAACTCAATGTTTTTCCTATTTTGGTTGAAAATTGCTAGCCACATATGACCCATTTGGTCAAGTTTTTTTCATTTAGAAACAATTATTGAAATAAAAACGGAAATATTAAAGGCCTATAATACGTAAAATAAAACGTGGACAAACGTAGATAATAAATTGTCGACTTTTTTAAGATAGACCAAACTGATTTTCCGAGCGCTCCCAGAACATTATAAAAACATTTTTTTGACAAAAACTTTGAAACGCGTTTTTTCGGCGCGCGCTCCTATTTAGAATTAGTATTTATTGGCTTCGAAGGCACCTTTAGAAAATTTCAGTACTGGTCAGCCAAAATTGCATGTAAAAAAAATTAATACTTAAGGGGGGATCCTTTGGTTGGTGAGGGTGTCGAAACCCTGAGGAGGTGGCCCTGTTTCTGTTTATCCGCTCCTGTTTCCCTTTATATCTCGTAGCAGTGACTGGATCACCCGGGTCGAGGTTGTGGTTATATGATCAGACGGTGGCGACCAAATTTTAATATTTCCAGACTGCCGCAACCGAAACTTGATGTTTTCAGACCACCGCGACCAAGTTTTGGTATTTTCAGACTTTGCGGACCCAGGCAATGTGTCCACGACCGGCGCAATCGAAGGAAAGTTAACCGCCACCAGCGCGACCGAAAGAAAGTTAGCCGTGGCGGTCGATAAAAAAAATCAGGGCGTGGTATAAAAAATAGTCGCGGCATTGTCAATAATATAGTCACGGTGGTCGAAAAGTTAAAGGCGGCGGTCGAAAAATGAATCACGACATGGTCAAAAAGTTGGCCGCGGTGGTCGAAAAATTAAATTCAGCGGTCGACAAATATTCGCAACCGATGAGACCGAATGAAAACTAACAGCAATCGGCGCGACCGAAGAAAAGTTAACAGCAATTGGGAAAATGACTGGAGAAAAACGTTTCGAAAGAGTTTGAAGTAGTTAAAACAATCGACTGAGGAATTGATTCAACCAAAAAAAAATTGAACGGAACCAAATTGATCGATAAACACAACTTGATCGTTTCTGGCCGAGAACGATGGCTCAAATGAAACAATTGGCTGCTGAAGAACAGGATAAAACTGCCAGGTTTCGGCCGAACGTTGTGGTAATATATAATCGTTGAAGAACACTTGCTCGTTATGTTTCTTTCTGTTTTTAATTATATAAAGCACTAGTAAACGCCATATTCAAACAAGACAATATCAAATTAATTTTCGCTTGATTTGAAAACAAGACTACTCTTATATCAGGGCAAAGCACTGAATGTTCTGACTATCTCTTAATTCATATCAAATAGTTTTTGGGAAAAGACAATATTGAAAACCTGTAAATGTTGGTTTATATCAAAGTGTGAAATGTTGAATCGTATGACATTAATAAGACCAATTAGCTAGCCTCAATTCAATTTGGAACTATTTTGTTAGGCGGGATAATTCGCCACGCATAAATAAGTTGCGTTACGCTCTCAGCATTATGAATAAGCTTTCAAAGTGCACATAATTTAGTCCAGAACATGACCAATTTGACAATTTTCACACCCCAGAACTTTACAAAAAATAAACGGAGGTAAAATATCTATTCAAATTTGAACGCATGTATAAAAAATGTTGGTTGAAAACTATTATTTCGATCGGCGAAAATTGAATGAACAAAAAAACCACACAGAGCATAAAAATTCCATTTTCTTCAAAATTCGTAACAATAAAATGAACTTTAATTCATTTAGACAGTTGACAAATGCTCTTTTTTATTTGTCCGCTTTTATTTAACCAAGCTCGATAAATTTCTTTATTATTTTGTTTTTACAAATTATTTCGTTTACAAACTTTTTTCTCGTTTGTCCTGATTGTCAATAATAGCTGAAAAATATTCATCGGCAGCGCTCTGCCTAAGCCGTACGGCTGTATGTTTTATCCTCACACGGCAATTTCGTCATTACGGTCAAGTTCAAGTACAGGGGCGGATCTAGGATTTTCTCGAGGGGGGCGGATTTTTTTCGACCTTTTTTTAGGTCGACCGAATTGATTTTCTGGGTTCTCCTAAATCACCATAAATACTTCATTGTGACCGGATTTTCTGCGCCGCATACAAGTTTTTGAAAAAACAAGCCAAAAAAGGCGTTTTTATGCACTTTTTGGAAAATTTTGGCCTAAAAATTGCGGTTTTTCGGCAAGCGCTCCCAAAAAATAAATATAAATTGGTCAAGTAGCTAAAGAATGTTGCCGCCATTGCTACTGTTTTACTGGCTAAATCGAACAAGTCTGTCCAGTCGACAAATACAGATATCAAAAAAGATCGCCCCACAAGGGACTCGAACCCTTGACCGTTGGATTAAAAGTCCAACGCTCTACCGACTGAGCTAGCAGGGCTCTCTTACAATTTGACATTATCCAGGGAATTTTATAACTTGTTACCAACCAACCAAAAACACTCCGAATAACTGGTTGAGTCGCAAATATTGCGTACCTTTTTGGACTCCGCTGTTTGAAGCGTCGACTTCTTCCTGCCCCTTAGTTTTTTCTTCAGTTTGGCACTTCGGGAATCCACGAATTCAGACTCCGAGGTACTATCCGAATCATCGGAGCTTAAAGCAAACAAAAAGTTTTTTAAACTGAATCCAATACTCGACACAAAAAATTGATCTATAAAGTTGGCTCCAAAAAGTCATCCCAAAAAGAAGTTGGATCCCAGAAAAATGAATCTCGGCCCTTTTCTACCTCCCCCCCCCCCCGCACATTTCATAGAATCAATTTTTTTCAGTTGTTTCACGAGTTATGATGGCTGAATGCGTGATTTTACAATGAAAAGTTATAAAAGTTATAAGAACAAATGTGTTTATAATAGTTAGTTTGATCACCATACAAACTCCCATTATATTATGATAACGTCAAGTTTAGTTTTCAAAACTGAAATTCAAATGTGGGGGGGGGGGGGGGGGGGGGAGGGGGAGTGGGAAAGAACCTGAATCTCTAAAAGTTGCATCTCAGAAAAATGAATTAAAAAAAGAGATTTCAAAAAGTTGGATCCCAGAATAATTGCCCTCAAAAAGCTGGATCCGAAAAATTAAGATCTCAAAAAAGTTGGATCCAAAAAATTGATCTAAAAAAAATCTAATCCCAGAACAGACCACAAGCGGGAGAAGCTAGACTCACTCTGACTGGACTGACATGTCTGCCCTTTTGATCCGCTCGAGCAGTTTGAGACAATCTTTCAGGTTCTTAGTCTTGCTCAGCAGTCCAGCCACCTCCGCCACTGCACAATAAATGAAGCATAGTTATTAAAGTAAATTGACAGATAATATCAGAGCCGTGTTTCGGGAGAAAGATTTAGTTATTAAACTAAATTGATAGAATATGTCAGAGACCAAGTGAAAATTCTAACTCCTAAATCAATTTAGGAAGCAGATTGTTCACCTGGTTAAAAGTAATATTTTCGGCCAATCAGATTTGACCATAGTACACGCAGGCCTTACTGAATGAATTTGCCATTTAACTTTAGAAGGGGGGGGGGGAGTTGTTTACATAGGTCGATATCAGAGGCGTGTTTCGAGAGAAAGAGTTGTAAAAACTCCATTCATGTAAGATGGAATGAATGGTTAAAGTATGATTGTTTTGTTCATGCAGAAAGCACTTACAAAAGATGGGTACCGCCAATGTTTTGAAAAAGTCGTGAAACTGACACATCTAAAACGTTCGCATGCTGTTTGTAAACATTTTATTCGCTAGTCAGTTGTTTTCAGGGACCCAACTATCATATGTGCACCGAAAAGTTACCTGGAAGCTGGCCTAACCCGTGGTAAAATCATCACAATTTTCAAACCTGCTTTATCTTTTTCGGCCTTGGCGACCGCCAAAGTTGCGTCTTGTTGCTCTTTAAACTTTTTCTCGTCTTCAGCTGTCTTTTGTTTTAATATTTCCACATCCTCCGTTTTTGATTGGCTGTCGCTCTTGTCGTCTTCTTGGCGCTGTGATGACGTGTCAGCACATGATTGGTCAATCATTTGATGAGCAATTACCCTGGTCAACTCCAAAATATAGTCGTGTTGAGCTCTGAAAATGAAATCTGTTGCATTTTTTTGTTTTGATCGAAAAATTAGTTACGAAATACATCTAAGTAGAGTGGATCGATTGCTGCTCGAATCACGATTGAGAGGATTTCAATTCACGATCACGATTTATCAGTGGCGTGCGTAGAAGGTTTTCTAGGGGGTGTGAGCGCTTTTTCGAAAGTTTTGTCGACCTTTTATTTTTTCTAGGTCGACCAATTTGATTTTTTGAAGGCTTTTGTTTTGAGCTTAAAAAAATGACCAAAGAATTGCGTTTTTTGGCGCGCAAAAGGCGCCTATATTAACTTTTTCAGGTTGGCCTCCCATAAATGGATGTCGTAAAATTATATCAAAGCAGGATCCCCTTTGGAAAAACTTGGCAACCAGAATTGAGAAGCCTTGGGGCTCAAATTTCTCCACCCTCGCACACTAACTGAATATGATATATTGCTTGGCTCCATTTGATTTTTAATTGTGAAAGCTGGATTTGCTTGGGCAAAAATATACTGGCCTGAACAAAAAAGGTTGTGAGCTGAGGTCTCTGAAAGACGCAAAATTAGGCTCCTTCAATGGGATTTTAATTAATTGAGTTTTTCAGGGTAACTAAAAGGAAGGCAGATTCAGCTAAGCGATGACGAAGTTTCAAATATCAGGCTAAATTTTACTTGCTGAAATATTTTTGATGTTATTTCGAAACTTAATTAAACTAACGTGACAATGATACAAAAACTGAGGATTTAAGCACAGTTAACTTACGTTAGTTTTTTGGACTTAGAGCTTGTCCCACTGAAAAACCAGCAAAAGTCAAGCATTGAATCGCAATAGGTTCCAGACTTCAAAAACAAACGTTTGATTGGTGAGCTTTGACTTGATTTTTGTTTTCAGCAACTTAGCTTATTTACCCATTCACTTTAAAAACAGCTGCAGTTTTATTGGAGTTTTCACCTTTTAAGGAAAAGTTCAGGGTAATCACTTACAATTGGTCAGATATGATCTTGGAGTATTCTAGAAGAGCTTCTCCAAACACGTGACCAACTTTCTTCAGATCATGGATGCCGAAATGTTTCCCCGGTTGAGTCATTGTGGCACTGAAACCGATAGTATTGATTTAGGTTTCTTCATTTCGTAAAATTGTCAGTTAAATGATTTTACTGATCAAGTGCGATTATTTTACTCAAAATCCGAACATATCGCATGATACGGGGTATCTAACAAAAAATACGCTACCCACTTCCTCATTTTTAATATATATAAAAAAAATTATCGAAACGGTTGATTTTTTGTAGATTTTTGTTTTAACGTTATTTTTCTGAAATAATTTAAAAAGCTCTTTTTTACCCTTGCGATAAAGCAAGGATATTTCAACCAGGTACTAGACTTTTTTTCCCGTAAAAAACTTGTTTCACAGGATGACTTAAATTGTTGGTCATCTCCAAGTCTGTACTTTCGTCAGCTAACAGACAAGTTTTGAGCATGTCTACATTTAAATGCATGCGCTATTTGAATTTTGCTTTTTATGTTGATTGAAATATTATTAACTCGGTTTGTTAAATGTTTGTTTTCTATTTTCATTTTTCCCTTTTCTTTTCAGCTTAATCGGTTTCGGCTTATATTTTATCGGTTTTGTACATGGATTCGTATGAGCTAATAGTTTCTTAAACTTAGGTGTGTGCATTTTGAGGGAGGGGGCTTGCGTTATGCTTCCGAGTTTCATTTTTGTTTTTATTGAAACACTTTTTTTACTCAATAGATGTATGGTTAAGTGTTGTCGGCCTTGTAACCGATTCCTTCGATTGTTATTTAACATCACATAGTCCTAGTTGGAATTTTTTTTTCTCAAAAGGAACCTTATTCATGCCAAATTTCGTTTTATTTTATGCTCACTATTTTTTCATAATAGGTTTGTATTGTATTGCATTGTTAAACACTTTTAAAGTTTTTCCTGTACCTGATTACGCGATAGGAAATGAAATTGTAATTATGCGGCAATAGCATTTCTAAAAGAGTTACATAGTTTGAGTAACTTCCCAGGCTGTTGCCAGATTTAATTTTTAATTTTGAAGTTTTTAGTGGGCCAAACAGGTATTTTCTATGACAGATTTCTTCTTACTACAAAATTGACAGTTTTGCTTCCTCAACTTCCAGCAGATGTGTGCCAATTATCAAATTAATTACAGATTTTTTTATCGATTGGGGTTTATTGCTCATAATCGTGTTGATACGCGTTGCGAGCTTGCTAGCTTAGAGCAAAAACTGTTTCCATCTTGCTAATGGAAAGATCTCTTCGTTTGCAACATTTGCGGACCAAGTTAACATCCCCCCACCCACAAAGCCGTTCAGGGAGGGAGGATTTTAACTTGGTTATCATTTCGAATTTTCAGCCAATTAGAAAACAGCATTTTGCTCGCAGCGGTTAGCAAATTTAATTTAAATTGAACGCTGAGGTGGAGGATGTTAACTTGATCCAAATTTGCAATAGGACGAATTATGTTAATTTGAGGGACGGAACATGCAAAAGGACAAAACCTGCAGAGAACCAAATCTGTCAACATTTTTATCGGCCGTTTTTTTGATTTTTTGAACGCTTAACTACCGGTGGAATTTTAAACAAATTGTTCATCCTGAAAATCGTTCAGCCTTGCTTTCAGTCTCTTTTTTGATATACAAATTGCTAGTGTTTTAGAAGCTCTACGAACTATCTAAACCAATCTATGGCTTTGATCAAAGAAGTGTTTGTTCGGTTTTTTGCTTTTTAAATTTGTCTCTATCTATAAAACGCAGATAATTTTTTAAAAATTATATTGAAAACTGCCGTTCGACCATTTTTTCTCAAAATGAAAAAAATTTCCAAGAAAGCCTGGATTTTTTCGTTTTGTTCGCTAATTTTTTGTTCTAAAAAATTTGATTTAAAAAAATTTGCGCTACTTCCAAAAAAAATGAATATTCATTGAAAGGGTGACAACAATCTTAAGAGTAACGACAATTTCACAGTCACATCCTGCAGTAAATCTAAATTGCCCTTAGTTGAGAGCAAAATAAGCATTTTTCGATTCTATGAAATTTTATAATAAGCATTTCTCGCCTCATTCTGGATCTAAATACCAAATTTTTGCCATAAAACTGCAGTAACAGTATTTTTGCTATAAAATTGTATGATAAGCTTTCTTAACATGCAGTGAAATAGCAGGATAAGCTTTTTTCTATAAAATAACATAAAAAAACTCTGTTTTGAAAGTTTGATTTTCAAATTTGTGCTTCAAAACCAAAAGTAAGACTGGCAGTTGCCACGTAGATAAACTGCATTTGATGATGTTAGCCATGTAATTTAATATTAAATTTTCACACAGAATTATATAGCAAAAACGTGCTCAAAAAATTTTTACTTGTGTTTTTTTTTCTATACGGCTCAAAAAATTTAAAAAGCCTTTTTGGCCTGCTTTTTCAAAAACTCGCTTGTCGCGCAGAAAATTTGGTCAAAATGTGGTATTTATAGTGATTTGGGAGATCTCAGAAAATCAATTTGGCGACCTAAAAAAACCTCCCCCCTCGAGATCCGTCCCTGATACAATCGTTTTCTATGGACTCCATATATGAAATTGTTTCATGGACTCCGTATATGAAAATGTATGATAGGCATTTTTCCTGGGTGGACGTCAACCCAGGTGCTTTTTTGTTTTAGCCTGGCCATAGCAGTCACAAAATCAAGCTAGAACGCATCTTTGTTGTCAGTTTTTGCGTCAAATTAGGGTTTTTGGATTTTGCTTGAATAATTAAAAATGTAATTTTACAAAATAACATCTAATATTTGTCATTGAGTTCAATTTTTTAAATACTTTCTTCATCCCACCCATTCCCTGCTAAATTTCGCTTATACTGGACAAAAATCAACCAATCAACGCACTTTTAACTGTCCAAAACTAATTAAATTCATCGATTATTTCTTCAAATTGTTGAAAAGTGAGCTTTGATTGGCTGACAATCTTTTTGAGAATTATGCGGTTCTTTGCGCCAGAAGGATTACCCCAACTGGACATATTTGAGTGACAGAGAAAGAGAGGTATCGTACCATGCGTTGGATCCGCTGAGACTGGTCTCCATGGTGAAAGAGTTGAATATTCTGTAGTCTCTGAACATCACCACCCTTCCTGTGCTCTCCTTGCACTTCTTGATGTGGAACTTACTCTTCGAAAACGAGAACAGCTCCGGACCCTGGAATATGACTCATCATCAGATACTGAATAATTTTTAGCTGTTGCAGCTGTTATCCCCTGGTTAAAAGTTACATGATATTTTTGGGATTCATATTTTTCTGGACTGGGTTAGCTTGCCTCACCCTCGAGCAATGGTTCGGAGGTTCAAAGTGGCCTCGAACCTCCGATCTTTCGATCGACAAGTGAAGACTTAACCCGTTCTGCACCACTGCCTTTCTTTAAGTCGCCCTCCCTAATTGAAATACGGAGAATTCCGTCACTCAGTTCAATTGCTTAACCATCGTACTTATGTTTTAGCAGGGTTCAGACCATTTTTCGTTGCTATTGACCATAAGGGTTAAATGTGGAAGACCGACTAGGTTATCTACTCAACTTCATTAAACTTAAGCATGACAAGAAAATAAGTTTTGTGTTTTTTTTGTTTTTCCAGTTGCTTCTTTAAATGTAACATCGTTCGAGGTTTTTTGCTACATCGTTCGAAGTGTTTTAATTCAGAATTGTTGAATCGCAAGTGGCGCAAAGCTCAGTTTTTCACCTCGGTGTCTAAACATTAGTTTTAAAGTTTATCTAAAACATTTTAAAACTGAAAAAACAAAAAATGTTTTCAAAATTCGAAAACCATTATCAGCAATGACAATCTCATGCAGTTAATGCTATATTGTTTACACAAAATTTGGGTCTTTCCCATTAAAGACCATGTCCCATCCAATCCAGCCTAGCAACCCAAAAATATATCCTTTTGAAAAATATAGCTCCCACTGTTATTTTAGAATATAGATAATGACTTATATTGAAAACATAGCTACCACTGTTATTTTAGAATTATGGAGAGGGCTATAGTTTGGAAAGACGGGGGGCTGTAATAAGAGGTCTATAATGGTAAAGGTTCTAAAATAGTATACCTTCATGGACATGAGAAAGGGGAAGAGGCGTTCGTTGAGGTAGTTCTCTGGCAGGTCCGCCTCCCCCTCCAAGTAGCCAGCGTCACAGCCATACATGAACACACTGTGTCTCCTGCTGTGGCCATGCAGGTCCACGTATAATAGCACCTGACAAAAAAAAGAAATTTTTCAGTCAGTTCTGAAACATCTGTCAATTATTCTTAAAGAGTATCGATAAAAAAAGTGAGAAATATTGTCAAAGAGGGATATTTCTATCAGTCCTGAAAAAGAATGAAAGAATGAATCTACTTAACAACCTCCTCACCCTCCCCCCCCCCCCAAATGTATCTACTAAAAAATCTCCACCCCTGTAACTAAAAACTGTAAATTCACACTAGAGCGTTGTATGTAAATTCGGTTTTTGGTGCATTCTCATTGGTCGAAAATTCGCTGCAAGTAATCTACTTAACAATCTCCCCCCCCCCCCTTTCTTGAGGGAGCGGTGGTGAAGTGGTTACGTCTCCGCCTCTCAATCGAAAGGTCGGATGTTCGAGGCCCACCATGATCCGTGCTCGTTGCTTGAGGGTGAAGCAACATTACCCAGCCCAGAAAAAAAACCATAAGCCCAGAAAAAAAATTGCATGTATTTCTTAAACAAGGGCACAACAGCGGTTCGCCGTGATGAGCAGTACAGCTCTTGTCCTTTCCCCCGTGGATAAATGGTCTTAAGTTGGAAGTAGATCCGAAAAAACATTTTCGGAGTTAATTTTAAAGAACTGTTAATAAAATGTTAAAATCTGAAACTTGAGAAAAATCCGAAGTGAAATTTTCAAAGATATATAATAAAACAAATATATCACAGAGCTCAAAAAATTCATAAAGTTTGATGCCTATTTAAAGGTTGTATAAATTGATACCTCTTTTGTACTTTGTTATTATTTAATACCTATTCAAAATTATTGGGTTACAATTGAGTCTGATCAATAAAGTTGTGAACGAGTTAATTCCGATAGTTACACCGAAGACTTTAGTCAAGGTGTTATGGTATCGTGTAACGGTTTTTTTTTTAATGTTGTCTGTTGTCAAGTGTCGACAAATAACGTCCACAGTTATCAATTATCATGTGGGCTGGACTATATCGCGCTATGTCACGTGATTGCGTATGTTTGTTTCTTTATTTGTTCATCTTTATTTATTTAATTATCTGTTCTTCTATTTATTTAATTATGTTTAGTTTGCTTATATTTATTTATAATTTATGTATGTACATATTTATTTTTGTTTATTTTTATCACGTGTTTTGTTTATTTATTTAATTATTCTTTCTTTCATTTAGTTTTGCTTTTATTATTTCTGCGTGTGTATTTATTTAATTTATTTATTTTCATTTATTTATATTATGAATCTGTTTGTTTGGTTATTTGTTCATATATAATTTTTCATGTCTATTTAATTATTTGTACATTTCACTTTTGCTTTTATTTATTTATTTATTTATTTATTTATGTATTTATTTTTATGTATTTATTTATTTATTTATGTATTGATTTATTTTTTTATTGCTTATTTATTTATCAGGTGTGTTTTGTTTATTTATTGATATTTATTTCTATATTTATTTAATTATTCTTTCTTTCATTTAGTTTTGCTTTTATTATTTATGTATGTGTATTTATTTCATTTATTTATTTTCATTTATTCATATTATGGGTCTGTTTGTTTGGTTATTTGTTCATATATATTTTTTCATGTCTATTTAATTATTTGTACATTTCACTTTTGCTTTTATTTATTTATATATTTATTTATTTATGTATTCATTGATGTATTTATTTATTTATTTATGTATTGATTTATTTTTTTATTGCTTATTTATTTATCAGGTGTGTTTTGTTTATTTGTTGATATTTATTTCTATATTTATTTAATTATTCTTTCTTTCATTTAGTTTTGCTTTTATTATTTATGTATGTGTATTTATTTAATTCATTTACTTTCATTTATTTATATTATGGGTCTGTTTGTTTGGTTATTTGTTCATGGGATATATATTTTTTCATGTTAATTTAATTATTTGTACATTTCAGTTTTGCGTTTATTTATTTATTTATTTATTTATTTATGTATGTATTTATTTATTTATGTATTGATTTATTTTTTTATTGTTTATTTATTTATCAGGTGTGTTTTGTTTATTCGTTGATATTTATTGCTATATTTATTTAATTATTTTCTTTCATTTAGTTTTGCTTTTATTTATTATTCATGTATGTATTTATTTATTCATTTATTTATTTATCTTTATTTATTTTTGGTTTGTTCGTTCATTTGTTGGTTTGTTCTTTCATTTATTTCTTTATTTAGTTAGCGTCTTTGTTGTTTGATTGTGAAATTTGATGTTTTACTTCTTAGCTATGTAGTTAAAAGCAAAAAATGATTTTCAACTTATTGTTCTGTTTAGGATATTTTCAGAAAGATCTGTATATCACCAATTAGCGTACAACGATTTACAGGGAACGCTGCCAACGAGATTTGTCCACTTGCTTTTGGGTTGCAGCTACATCAAAAATGATTTTAAATTATTTATTTTAAAGATTTATCTATAGTTATATCTGACCGGTAATTAATTTTCAAATTTGCTTTTGTATTTCTCAAAAAAGAATTTGTTGGAGCGTGGACTCAATAACGTAAAGCAGAATGTTAAATTTTATGTTACTTCTATTTTCAGTCATGTAATGGAGCCATTTCGACCCACGGGCATTGCAAATGATGACAACAGTTGCTATCTCAATTCTGTTCTTCAGCTTTTGTTGTCAAGCGCTTGCATCAGAAATCGGCTCAGTAGACTTACTGAATTTGACCATGGTGGCGTGTTAATTTCAACTGTGAAAGAGATATTTTGTCAAATGCTGTCCACAGAAAACTTTTTCATCAATGCGTCTACTTCCAAAGTTAAAATTCTCCAGCATCTTGATTTGAATTACAGCTTCTCATATACCTATGGACATCAGCACGATGCTTCCGAGGTACTACTGTCAATTATCAATGCATTTAAATCTGAGGGCCAATGGAATTTCTTTGAAATATCGTATTCAGATAATTTCACGTGTTGTCTGTGTAATGTGTCATGGAGAAGACCTGAAACTACTTCTGCGTTAGTTTTAAGTCCTCCACGCAATGGTCAACTTCTGCAGGAGCTTGTGGTCAATCACTTCGCCAACCAAGCCATTAATGTAACATGTCCAAATTCCACGTGTATCTCAGAAAGGGCAATAACAACTAAAGAACCAACCCATATTGCAAATACTGTTATTTTGCTGATTGCGCGTTACATGTTTGTCGCTGGCAATCGCGTTTACTCTAGAGCAGAAGTCACAATTGGTGAAACAATCGAAATTGGTGGATGTGATTACGGAGTAAAGGTTGCTGTTATTCACACGGGGTCTTTTGAATACGGTCATTACTTTACTGTCATAAAAACCGCTCATGAGCACCTTTGCGTTAACGATTGCACCATATCGCACCACCATGTCCCTGATTGGGGTTGTGCTTATGTTATTCTTTGTGAAAAGAAAGATATGTATCCAACACCCGCTGCCAATATTATGCTGCTGGACAATTTATCAAATAACACTTGTGGTAATGTTAAGAAATTAACAAAGTCAAAGATGGATCGGAAAGTGTACCAGGCAGAATGGGCACGAACGAAGCGCGAGAAGGCGAAGACAATAAACCACACAAATAGTTTGTCGCAAAATTCAGTTCCCAGTCACGTGGATCTAACACCAGTCTCCATTGAGTTTGATTTGGCGGCCACAATTTTTGATAAAAAGAACTCAAAAAGAGAATACAATCGGCAGCGTTTGGAACGTTTGCGGAAGAGTCCAACTTTTGTGGAGCAAGAGCGCGTATCACACATAGTTTTGCGAAGATATTGACAAAGAACTGTTATTTCAGGCTCTTTGTCAATATAGTAAAATTTTGGTGTATACATGTGTTAGTACGATTTTTAGTTCTAGAAGTGTTATTTTATGATCTTCGTTGATATATCAAAAATTCAACCTATACATGTGTTAGTACGATTTTTAGTTCTAGAACTGTTATTTCAGGCTCTTTCTCGATATAGCAAAATTTTGGTGTATACATGTATTAGTACGATTTTTTGTTCTAGAACTGTTATTCTTCAATTATTAGTTGTTCAAGTTGTTTGGTTTTTGCTTCAGTTTCTATGCCTTCGGTGTATTGCGCGTAGCGCCTATGTTTATAAGCCGAGGCGGATCTACAGTTTTATCGAAAGGGGGATCTTTTTTCAAAAAATGTTCGAATTTTTTGTTGACTTTTTCAACTCGACCAATTTGATTTTTGAGTTCTCCCAAATCACTATAAAAATCTAATTTTGACCACATTTTTTGCCCCGCAGCTATTTGAAAAAACAGGCTAAAAACGTTTGTAGGCACTTTTGGAAGGGTTTGAGCAAAACACTGCATGTATTGGCGCGCACTTCTACCTCAAAAACAGTACATATTGGCGCCGAAGGCTCCTTCAGAAAATATTCTAGGGTCGTTCGGCCAAAAATGGACGTACTAATATACTACCGAAGGGTGGTCAGGGACCGAATCTTGGCATGAAGGGCGTGTTGTGTATCAATGCTAAGCAGGGGAGTTAGTGTTACGACTTAATTTGAGATCAATAAGGGTGATAGAATTCCTCAATTTAGCCTCAAATTGTATTTATAGCCAACATCACTAAAAAAAAAAATCAAATTTTGCCTTAAATGATAAAAATTTATTTCGTTTTACACGTTTTCATTTTTGTAACCTCTTACCTAAAATGCATTCGACAGATGACATATAGCATCGACTTCATGGATAGAATTGAATAACATCATGAGAAACAATTATGTTTGACACATCTTGACAGTTGATTAAACTCGATCTGATAATATAAAGATAGCATTAAATATAGAATCAAATCATTTAAATTCAGCTGCTACAGATCAGATAAGTTCTTCTATTTAACCTCTCTACGTTTCAACTAAGAGTTTTAAATTCGATGAAATCTTATTTCATCACCGGATCATGTCAACCTCCTTCCCCCCTTAAATCCGCTACTGGGTCATGAAAATGAAAAAAAATATGATTGCTGAATATTTTAAAATGTTCAAGCTGTTTATGAAACCCCTTGAAAAAAGCCAAAGGTAGTTTTTTATTGGTTTTTATTTTTAGACTGGTTTTAATTTATCAAGAACTTTCAAAATCCCTCAACATAATCCTAGATCCGCGCCTGGTTGTTGGGTAAAGACTGACCTCGTTTCTGACCATGGTCCTCTCGATGAGGTTCTTGACGTGCCAGATGGTGGGGAAGAAGTCCCTCTTGGGCTTCCTGTAGTTCCTGTTCATGTCCCTCCCAAATAAGGAGCATCTGTAGTTGCCCACTATCACCCCATCTGGGTTCAACATCGGCACCACTTTGAAGATGAACTGCTTCCGGAGCACCTGATATGATATGTACACTGATACGACTAAGGTAGTGGTATAACCAAATTGTTGACGTGTACACTCAAATATACCGGGCTAAAATGACGTACTCGCTTCACACGTATAGGCTTCTTTTTTTAAAGTTTAATTTACAAATTTAAACCCAAGAAATAAGAACTTTAGTTTCAAAACCAAGTTTGATATCAAACGTATTATGTCTTCAGATTAGCAATACATTAGGCAATAGTGAGCGCACTAAGAAAAAACATTGCAAAAACATGCAATTTTTTTACCATGCATTTTTTTACATGCAATTTTTTTACATGCAATTTTTTTAACATGCAAAACATGCAATTTTTTTACCACAAACTAATGAACTTCTAAAGCATAAAATGCTTGATATCGACGCTTGGTTTTGAAACTTAAGTTCTTCAACTGGGCACAACCTAGATCATAAAGTATTCTAGAGTTAAAAGCGACGGTGGATGGAATAGAAAAAATCTTGTAATTTGAATCCAATTTGTGGACTGATGGTTGTGTACCTGTGCTATTTGGTGTTGTGAAGTGATGAAGTCTAGGAACCCTTCTAGCACCCAGCTGCTGTTTGTCTCCCCCGGGTGCACTCTGCAAGTGACCACCACCGCCTTCTTCTGCTGATCAGGAACTGCAATTAGAACAAGACAAATAGTAACTTTGTGTTTCAACTGGCTCTCTTCAAGTTAGAGCATGTCATTCTAAAATCCACCCCCTCCCTAAATAATTTCAAACTATATTTTTCGGCGCACTAGAAGAACCTAAAAGAAGAGCCAAAAAAATCAAAATGTTTCGAAAAACCTCTCAAAAAAACGGATGCTTTCGAAATACGTCAAAATAGTTATGTGAATACGATGCACTCTCGCCACTAAAACCGACGATCATCAAGTGTTTCGAGAGAATTAGTTTAGGGTTTAATTTAGCGGGTCATGCAAAACTGGAAAAACAAATAACTCGAGCTAAAATTCAACCTTCAGTTCTCTGTACACCACTTGAGCATAATGGTATTTGAATAAGGCTGCCAACATTTTAGTAGCCTCTTAAAGTAAAAATGAGTCACTCTGGTTTGACGTGATGGCCTAAAATTGAGTGACCTTGGTTTGACGTGATGGTGAGGAGGTAGCAGGTGTTCCTGGCTCTAGTCTCGCATAGCGTCTCTCTTCGGAACATCTTCTGTTTGTGAGTCTGTTCCATCAACGATTCTGAAATTCAACGAAAATTAGAAGAGCAAAAACAAGCATCACAAGGGAAGCCGATGGCTGAGCAAGCAGCACAGAACTTTTTCTGACCGCTGAAAATTCTTCTGAAAAAAATTATCATACAAGTTTTTTTTTTGAAGCAAAATCAAGACCGGAAGGTCTTCAACCTGCAATTTCAGTTTAAAGTCTTCTAAATTTTCTTTAGTCACGACAAAAGCCCTAAAAATGATTTGTCTTAGTTTTTTCGAAGAATCTTTGCCCCCTGACTTAAGACTGACCGATGTAATTGCGTAATCTACTGAAAGGGTATGGGTAGCAATGAGCCATGTAACACGTGTCTTCTTTATGAGGGAACTCCAGTTGCCATGACAACACAAAGTAGTTTCTATTTTTGACCACATCTGGAATAGACTTGACACTGTCTGTGTTCTGACTGTACTCCACGTGGTGACCTGACCTGACCCAGCCTTGACTTTTGGCCTCGGCATTGGTCTCGGAATAAAACAATGGGCGCATACCTGAAAATAAAACTTAATTTTTTTTCTGGTTTTTGGAAATCATTTTTTTCCACCAGCCACTACAGCTCATAATTAGTACACAATGAAGCCAAAGGCAAACTGAAATTAATCAAGGACTGATCTACCAAAAATGGAGCTCGTAAAAAAACAGGAGAAAGAACTGCCAGCATAAATGAGATAGAAAAATAAGTTGGTAAAAAGCGGTAAGTAACTTCCAAAACAGGAAAAAGTTCAAATATTTACGCGCATTGCTATACCCATACCGTAATTGTATAGACTGTCTGATTTGGTGAAGTTGAGTATGCGGAATGAGTAAGTGGCACCTGGAACCATGCCCCCTGACGATGCCCCTCCTGCACCTCCCCCTCCTCCCCCCTTCACCCGGAAGTAGAACCACTGGGTGTGTCTCTCCGTGAACATGTCTGGCTTCAACACCAACTCGTACTCGAACAAGCCACTGAAATTAGAAAATTATTTTACGGTAATTGGTAGAAAAATTTGAGCGGCATTGATTGTATTAAATTGTTTAAAACTCTTGTGGGCTCTGTTTAAATTTTATAAAATATGGGCTGTTCAAATAAATATATAACCGCCGTTTATATAACCGTGGGCACTCTTTAAGTTCAGCTTTAAGCTAAGAAATTCAATTATAATTCAATAATAAATTTTTTCAATAATAGTTTTCCACAAAAATGTTTCCAATTATAAGTTTTTTTCCATTCGGTGAGTTTGTGTAAGGTTGATGAAGTTTCTTATGCTTTCTGATATTTGCAGCAGCACAGAATGTTCCGACCGTAGTTTTAAAAATACAACAAAAAAGTTTTTCAATTTATAGTCGTTTTTTTTTCTGCGTGATGTGTTTAAGAGATTGAACAAAAAACTAGAGCTTAGGCATATTCGACAGTCATGGTAAAATAACTAAATTGAAAAACGTTTTTTGAAAAAAAATTGCCTTTAAAATCAAAATAATAAAAAAGAAATCGAAAATTTTTCAAAAATGTTTTTGCATTTTTTCCAAAAAACGCGAAAACTTTAGTCTAGTAAAACTAAGTTTTCTTCGCTTAATTTAAGCAATTGTAAGCTTTTACGCTAATAAAATTACAATTGTAAGCCTGCTCGCTCACTCGAAATTAGACGAAACTTGTTTTCCGCGACACTGGCAAATTTATTTGAAAATTTTTATATGTCGTTCAAATCATAATTGAAAGGGCTTTAAAATGATATATCACTCAACTCTCTCCGATTATGATTTGTTGTAGCTGTTTTTGCTTCAAAACAAAAAAGAAACAAAACTAAAACACACCCGAATACAAAGGCAATATTTTAAAGGCATTTTTTTTCAAAAAAACGTTTTTTAAAAAAGGTCGTCAAATTTTTTGAAATTTTTTTTAAAAATCCGAACCCCCCCGCCGAGAAATTCGTAGATCCACCCCTGTTGTTCGGGGAACATCCTTTATGTAGGAGGGAGCAAATCATGAAAAAATAGCATCAAAAAATCATTAATTGAGCGTTCAAAAACCTTGAAGACCTGATACGCGTTGCGAGCTTACTAGAACCGAGACAAGATTTTCTTTGTGAAATAATCTGGTGGTTACCGGCGTGTCTAACTGCCAGTTCACTACGAAACGGTTATAATTCTTATTCCGCCAAATTGATTTGGGGTTTTTAATAAAACATTCAGCGAAAAAGAACTTGTTACGGTTTTTGACAATTCTGATTGATTTCATGTTTTCTATCATGTGATTAGCCGCTGTTTTGGTTCATGGAAAACTTATAAACATTCAATTTCCATTTATGGATACTTTTGTCATTTAATGTGCATATAGAGAAAAAAGCTTAGAATCGTAGTGAAATGCATGACAAAAAATTTTCCATTGAAATTTTTTGATAAGAACTTTTGGTGATATGGACTTTAATTTTTTTTGTTCATTTACTGTCGTTCTCTTTGACCGCTTCAACTGGTAAAAAATTGACAGTATCCAAAAAAAAATTGAAGATGATTTCAAAATGGCTTTTTTGACAACTCTAAGCCATGCTTGCAAAGCTATTTTAGAAATCAACTAAATTGTGGTCCAATTTTAAAATAAATCATTCATTTTTTCTTGCGCGGGTGTTCATTTTTAAGGTGCGTCTATAGTATTATATTCTATTTCTAGTGATTCCGAATTTAAAAAAATCATTAAAAATAATTATAAATATCAAAGAGAATTTTCAAAAATGAGAGTAGTCTACTCACACCCTGTAAACGTGTTGCAAATTCCCCGACTCGAACCTAGATTCGAACTGGAGATGGGGTGGGCAGTTGGGGTGGGGCAGTTGTTCGTGTGGAGCCACCAGCTGTCCCGGTTCAATGGAGGATGAGTCATAGATGAGGAGTGGCTGGTCTCCCCAACTCACCCCACTATAGTATTGCACTATGCGTCTGGACGCTTTGTCATTACTGCCTTGTCTGTTAGTTTCTAAGCAGATGAAAATCTGTTATACAAGAAAAAAAACTAATTAAATAATGTTAGTTTTAAAAGAGTTAGTTTTAAAATAGATTTATACTCAAAACATGGTGAAGCTGCAGTTTTCAAATTTCTAAAAAAATTAACGTCAGTTTTGCCCTCATTTTTTTATTTTAGGCAAAATTAGATACAATTAAACATGTTCATTGGGAAATGAGCGACTACCCATTTTTTATATTAGAGTTAGACTTCTGCCTATTTTGCCTAAACTGACCTCTCGTCCAAAGAGGCTCGTGGATCTCCTTGGGCGAATATATATGGCGAGGCGTGGGTACCATAGGGCCGAATCCCACAGGCCAGAACGGACCGTGATTGGTCAAAACTATTCCAATAGCGTCTACATATTGACCAGTTTTCGCTCCGTCTGACAAATCTCCCTTTCTAACTGCGTCTCGGAAACCCTCTTTGTTGAATTTGGAGAATAATTTAACCCTTTGTTCGTAGGCGTTGTTTTCGACCGATGGAGCTATAGGCTGATTGGCAATTTGGCTGTATGACTGATGAGTATTTGGTACTATGCGGAGCTCCTAAAACTCACAAAATTACTGTGTGGTTGTTTTTATCATTAAAAGTATTTTTTTTTCTGAAAATGTCATTTCACGCGATTTTATTTTTTCAAAAAAATAGGGAAAAGTTTGAGGAGACCGAATTTAGATATCATTTGATTAAACTTTGAAATTGATTTGAAGCGGTCGAATTTCCGGGAAAAATTGTACAGAAGGTCCGTGGAAGGGATGAGATTTTAACAATGGATAGAAATAACAAAATTAAAAAAGGGGGCGGGTGCAGTTTGTCAATATATTAAATAATTGTGCGCTCTACTGCTGAAGTAAATTAAACATTTTTAGTTACTAGGAACTACCAAGGGGCCAGAACAGGTTTTTGAGAGCCGTTAACAATATCGAAAAAGAAAGACACCTAAGGTTTTTGTTGTATTTTTCAAGTATTAGCAGCGGAGGTGAAGTGGTTACGTCTCCGCCGCTCAATGGTAAGGTAGTACGTTCGAATCCCACCATGATCCGTGCTGGTTCCTCCAGGAGGGCCAGCAATTTTCAGACCATGAAAATAGCCAAAAAATTGCGTGTATACCTTAACCAGGGAAACAGCAGTTGTTCTCGGCGAGGAGCTGGAGAGCTCAAATTTTGCTTCTCTCCCTTGTGGATAAAACGTCTTATTCTTATAGTTATGTTTTTTAAGATACTCTTAATATTCTATAATTGACTAAACTGGCTATGAGGATACTAACCTGAGGACTGGTCATGTTCTGAATGGCCTCTGTCGTTTCCTTGATTGTGCTGCGGAGTCTGGACACTGGTCTAGCCTCGTAGCCAGTTTTAGTCGCACTTCCGAAACGCTTCTGCCATTCTTCACCAGGTCGGATATCCGACTTCTCTTCTTGGGGCGACTTCGGGGGCTCCTCGACTGTCTCCGATTCCTGGACAAAAAATTACGAAATTTATTCACTAAGCTGTTTTGATAATAGTTTAAAACAAGATAAATATGCAAGATAACTATGCTTGATCGACTTGGGTAAAACTTTTTCCAAGAGTGAAAGTATTATAAAGTTTATTAGTTAATTTAATTTACTATTTCGAAGTCTAAATGCTGTAAGCTCAGTTATAAACTCAGTTATAGAAAAGTCTGTGATTATCGGACAATGTTATTGGGAACACCTTTGTTACTTACCAGATAATTGGACCGAACATAACAGAATATAGCTGACTGAGAATGCAACTTCTTTCTCATTTCAGAATACACCGGCATTGTTTTATTTTAAGAAATCCTCATTGAAAAAAAAAGAAGGTATAAAACGAATAACAAAACGAAAGTATCAAAAATGATTACTTTATGAAAGTAGCAAATTTTCTCAAATGGGCAGAAGTAATTGGAAATGTGGATCAAAATTAAGCAGTCTAGTCGATTTTTTACGAAGTAATCGAAAAATAATCATTTTGTAAATACTGCAGGAACCAATTTCAACTTATAAATAACCAGTTTTTTTCTCCGAATGATGGTATATAAAAGGTGTTTGATCTTCTGAGTCTGTTTGATCCTTGCTTACATTGGTTTCTAATCAGTTTTTTCCCAATTCAGTGCTTTTTATTTCAAATCAGACTCCGGTTATTAGCCATAAATTACAGAAAAGCAGGTATCAAAAGAAGAAAGCACATTTTGAGCAGATGTAAAAGTGTTCGGTTGGTCTAAATGCAGTTTGTTTTCCTTTCACAAACACAGATGCTCTCTTTGTCTTGTTCGATCGTAACACTGCCAACCACTCAGCCAAAAAAAAACACGGATTTTATAACACCGAATCAATTATTTAAAAAAAGAACTCGACGCCTCAAATCCTGTTATGCGTTTTTGTGCGTTTTATTGGTTTTCCTTCCTCAATTTGGCATTTCAAGAAATAAGGAAAAATCGAAACGTTTGATAGGATGTACGTTTTTTTGCGACACTAAAAGTGAGTTGTAATAGACCAGCGTTTATTTATTTAGTAGTTGCTGGCTACCAAAACGAAAGAAAATTAAATCAGAAAGTTAATGCTTGATAGCGTATATTTTTGAAATTCATAATTTATTCAGATAGGAAAATTATTCGCGCGAAAATTTCAACGAAACAAAATTCTAAAACAGGAAGATAATTTTAGTTGAGAATCTCCATTTTCAAAACTAGGTGCTTATTGCTCCGACTTCCGTAACAAAAGTAACGGAATATTTGTGCTAGCTCGGGGTGGATTTTTTTTCTTCAGACAAATTTCGACTATTAACTAGCCTTTTTTGTCGGAATTTTTTAATATCATTCGAAAATTATTGTTGTCCTGAGCTTAAACTTGAAAAGATATATCACCTGTGATCAATTTTCGTTATGTGGGTTTAAATATTGCTATGTGGGTTTAAAAATTGCTATTTTGGCCAATTTGGGTCAATTAAGGCGCGATAAACTTTTGACGAACCATGAATCAATATGTGTTTTTTTTTAGCCAATTTTCATTTCCTTTGAAAAATTTGTGGGGGTCAAACATTGTATTATTTGAAAGCCTTGTTTGTGATGATCCAAACTCATAAAAGTTGAAAAATTGTCTAAAAGTAAAAAAAAATGGTCTAAATTTTCGTATGTTGCCGCATCTAAGAAAAATGAAAAGAAATCAACCAATGTGGATTTTTCTGGTCTAAAATATTATCAAAATAATCAATTCACATGTTGCACTCAGACAACAAAATGGAAGAAAGACAGCCGGTTATTGTGAAGGACACCATTTTTTTCAAATTAGTGTCGCTTTTTCTGGGTGATCTTATAGAAAGATCAGGACAAAAAAAGAACCAAAGCGTATTTGACATTCATAAAAACGATCCAATTGCAAAACAGTTTTTACTGAAACAAGAATAGAAACACGGACGTAAGCAACGAAAAAGAACTTAGAAAACTTTCAGAAACTCAATCTATTTTTTTTTGCATTTTTTGGATTTTGAAATTTTTATTCCTAAAACGGCGCTGAAATTAAATAAGCTTTTGTAAGGACGCTCAACTTATTAGCTAGAAATCAAACCAAAAATTAAAAATTTCAAACTGATTTTTCTCGACCTTGAGAGTAAATTTTGCAAATATTGAAAAACCGTTCAAATTACGATTGAAAAGGCATTAAAAAGACTCATCAGTTGGTCCAATCCAATTAATATTTGTGAGTGATTTTGAAGGAAAAGCAAAAAAAATTAAAAGATTAAAACACACCGGAATACAAAATCCTCCACATGTTTTCAAATAGACGAAACCATAAAAAACTGATCATAATCCACTGTTTTTATGAAAAAAAATTGATTATAATTCAAAATCAACTAAAAGGGATTTTTGTTCAAACCATTTGAAAAATGTGGAGAAACTTGGTATTCATATCTGTTTTTTTTTGTTTTTCCACAAAGAATCAAGTAATACAAATATTAATCAGAATGGGATATATCAATGCGAAATTTTTATAGTCTTCATTTGAACGACAATAAAAAGTTTCAAAAGCTTTCTCAGTTTAAAAATTTTATTTCAAGTTTGAGCGAGCAAAAGCGAGCGAGAGGCTTACATCAGCCTAATTATACTTAATTTGAGCCCCAAAGTTTTGGTTTTAATTGAATAAAACTAATTTTTAGCGCTATGTTGGGATTCATTTTCTGCAAAAAAGTTTGGAAAAAATTTGAAAGTTTTTGAAATTTTGTTTAGTTTTTTGTTTTTTTTTTTGTACTCATTTTTCCTTAAAAATGTTTTGTTCAATTTGCCTATTAAATTACGACTGTCGAATATGCCTGAAAAATACTTGTTTATCAGATCTATTTATTACACCATGGAGATGAAACTACACTAATTTGAAAGAAAAAAGACTTTCTTTTTGTTGTAGTTTTTTCAAAAATTATGGCCGGTACTTTCTGCGCTACTTGCATAGTAACCGGCTATCCTTGTTTTTATTTAATTTTGGTTTCTTGTCGGGCAAAATTTAGCCAGATTTTCGGTATTTATCAATTGAGTAATGCGGATATTTTCCAGCGCGACTGTACGGCTTACTCGACTTCTAAACCTGAAATTTTTCAAAACGCACAGTGATTCTGTTAACATCTCCCTCCTAATTTTTACCCCTTTACAACCCCCTATCCCAACGTTTGACACTTTGACCAGATCATCCTCTCCCCACATCTGAAAAAAAACCCTCTGACCACCTGAGCCAACCCTCCCCTGCTGAACCAACCCCAACCCCTCACCCGACCGAACCAGAACCTCCCCTCACATCTGATCATCCCGACCCCTGACTTGAACCCATGAACCACTTGAACCAACCCCTCATCCCACTTAAACACCCCCTCGCCCACCTGAATCAACCGTTACCACTTGAACCACCCACTCAACTGAACCAAACCTTCGTCAGCACCAACTCCTTCCTCTTTTGTTCTGACGAGGGAGGGTTGGCTCATTGAATGATTTAGGTCAGGAAGCGGGTATATGGTTTTTTGGTATTTTTTGAATTTTTTGTGTCACGCTATCCCTTGCAAAACAGTCCATTTACAATCCCCCCAAGCTTCTAAATAACATTAAAAAATTGTTTGTTGACATGGCATGGCAAATAAAAATTAAGTACCAGCAATCAAAATTGCGCACAAAAATATTAAAACTGAACTACAAATAACCAACCTTAGTTTAAAATGTAAACGTAACAAAAAAAGACTTTAGGTACGTTAAAATTCGCATCTCAGTAAAGTCCAAAAGTAAATCGATTAATATGGAGTTTCATTGTCTTATCTTTAAAAGTAAAAAAAATGCATTACAAATGTTTTGCAATAATTTTTAAAGTTGTATCAAATGATAGCAGTATTATGCATTTTCAATTGAAATTAATTGATTATTTTTCACTTAGACACTGACACTTATAGACACTGACACTAAAACTCAAAATTAATCAATTTTTATACATGGAACTCCTGGCGGGAACCATAGTTTGCAAATTGATCTTTGATAGTTTGCAAACTAATTTGTTCTAACTGTTAATTAATTTTAGTTAAGTAGCTCGTAACAATTTGAAAAAACTCCCATTCCCTTTCTCCTGAAAAAAATCTTTTATAAATTAAATCGTTTTTTTTTCGTAATCTATCAAAATCAAGATCGATTCAAGATAGCGCTTAGAGGAAGCAAGCAATGTGTGATTCTCCTCGGGCCCAAAAGGATCATTTTGTACTATTTTAAGAAATCCATTTTTGGCTGACTGACCTTAAAAGTTTTCTAAAGACGCTTTTGGCTCCAATCTATACTAATTTTGACTATGAGAGCGCGCGCCAAAAAAGAACGCCAAAGAATGCGGTCAAAAAAGGTCTTTATACAGATTTGGGATAGCTCAGAAAATCAACATGGTCGGCTAAAAGGAAGTTCGACAAAACTTTCAAATTTTTTTGAAAATCCGCCCCCTCTCTTGAAAAAATCCTAGATCCGCGCCTGGCGTGATCTATTGAAATTAAATTGAAAATATCAAGAAATAAATAAAATGGAAAAGATTAAGACGACAAGATACAGTTAGAAAACTTTTACAGTATTTTCGAAAAAAAAACGTGAAAACAGACAATTTGTAGTTGAAAAAGTCAATTCAGACCGTTAATCAATAATTGCTCTGCCGGAATTATAATTAATTTTTTCAGATTAAAAAAGCTCTCAGATAACAACAAAATGGATCGCCGTTACTGGATTGAAACGTAGTCCAGAATAGAAATTAGAAAGGCCAAAATCACCATAGTTTTGAAAATTTTTGTGTTTTCAAAAATATATAGTTTGATAAGCTTTTAATTAACATAATGGCTTTAGTGATCTTTCAAGTTTTAGTTTCCAGCATTCCCTGCGTTGCGAATGAACTCTGATCAAGAATGTGTTTTTTTTTCAAGCAAAATCAAGAACTTCAAAGGATTCTCATTGAGTTTGTTTAGTATCATATAAAATCCCGTTCAGCCGTTTATTTGAATTGAAAAGTTACTCATTCATCCGTCGGTCCAAACATTTCCGTTTTTTGGGTGGTTTTTCAAGAGGCATAATTTTTATTGAATGTGATTAATTTGATATATTAAATCTTTCATAACGCAAATCAATTTTTATGGTTTTGCTGTTTATGATATTTTAGCATTTGTTTTCTGTTTTTGAGGTTATAATGAATCCACTGCTGCTGCTGAAGAACGTCAAAATCTTTAATTTATTCTTCTTTATTTACAGTGATAGGGTAATACTGTGCCACTTGAGTATCAGACCTACACTCTTGTTCTTAAGTGAATTATTTCATCATACTTTGAGACGTGTATCAACTTTATGCACAAACTCTCGGCTAAAGGGGTAACCGTTTTTTACACTAGTGTCAGCTTATTGTACTATTAAGAACCGTCTTTTTTTCTAAGCTAATTCGCAAAAATGGGTGCCACTTTAGGGCACTTTTACAGCTTTTTGATAGCTTGTCGCGGTTTTGACATTCAAATACTAATTAGTTAACACAGTTGATGCAATTTTAGTTCATCAGATGAACCGAAAAAAAAACTTATTTGTTTTTAACAAAATCATAATAGTGAAAACTCGTTTTTGGAAAAAATCTATCTCAATATTACTCGCAGTTTTTGAGCTTTGCGATTTGTTACATGCTTTTTTAGTTACAAAATTATTAGTTGCAAAATTGTGTTTACTTGTATTTGGTGCCACATTTGTTGAATGGCATTGGCAATTTGTTAGGATATGTAGCTGCTTTAATCGTGACTAGTGTTTGTCGGTGGTTAAGCGTGCGTGGCTGAGTGGGTAGTGCGAGAGATTCAAAATCTCTTGATTACATCAGGTCGCAGATCAAATCCCAAGCCTAGTCGAAATTTTGCTAAATCGAGGCTCGTTTCTGTTTTTCTTTTAGCACTTTTAGAGCTACTTTTTGCCGTGTTCTCGCTAAAGTTTGCGAAAAGAAGCTTCGCCTCTATGTAAAAATTTCTGATTGATTTGAAAAATTCATTCAATCAACCGAAATCTAATTTCGATCTACTGTACTTCATTGATCTCCCCGAGATTCCGCGAAATAACAACGTGGTTCTTTATGCAGATGATACTAATGTATGTGGTGAAGTTTCGGAAGAAAATCATGATCTAGATTTGAACAACTTAGAAACATGGATGGCAGCAAATAAACTTACGATGAACCAAGACAAAGTCAAAACAATTGTAGTCAGCTCAAAAGAAATAAAACAACTGATAAAGTTTCGAAGTATCTTAAAAACAGAAAATGATATTAGATTTTTAGGAGTTCAAATTGATCGCAAATTGAGTTTTGGTGAAAATATCCGAAATGCAAAAAATAGTTGCACAAAATTCATTTTGTTTCTCTATGTTAATCATGTTAATGGTTGAACAACTTATGAGAGTCTATAAAAACTACATACGACCAATTCATCAATATGGAATTCTGATTTATGGCTGCACCTAAAAACAAATCTAGATAAACTACAGAAACTATAAAAAAATTTATAAGATTAGTCACCATGAAAAAAAAATCGACAAATAAGAGCAATGAGGAGGCAAAACAACGTTTATCAATCCTATGAGCTACATACAAACGAAACCATAAAAATGCTAACAAAAATTGTGAGAAAAGAACATATTGAAAAGAATACATACATTTTATTTTCATAACATCAAAAGAAAAAAGTAAGCGCTTTTTAAGTGACACACAGATTAGAATATTCCCAACGCGATCTGTAATGAACAAATTTTTTTAAAAAGTAAGTGATCGAGTTAGACTTCTTTCAATAAGATTGTCAAAGAAGACTATAAAGTTTTGTTAAAGATAATGCAAAGCCCAGCAACTAAGTTTGACAGTTTTGTTCATAAACTTAGAGACCTATATCTATACGATATTGATTTCTGTGCAAATGTTTTTTTGGTAAAAACTGGTTTGAATTGTTTTTGACGACTAACTAGTTTTTTTCATTTTGAGAAATATTAAATAAAAATCCTTGGTCTCTATGTTTTAGATCTACATCAACAAAAATGGTTTATACAAAACTTTAGGTTCAATCAGATAAAAACAAAAAAAATGTGGATTCTGATTCGTCAAATTGCTTTCACATGGCACATGCAAACAGGCTTCCAGCCTTACGATAAAAAAAGTTAACAAAAAATTTAAGTTTAATTTACTGAAAAAAAAAACAGAAAAAAGATAAAATTTTTGCTTCTGGTTGAAATTTCGAGCAGAAATAATTTAGATAAGCAAAAAATCGTAATTCATTATCACTATATCATTAGTACCGAGTCTAAGCGCACCTGAGCAAAGCGGATAATGTGTAATTCTGCTATGTGGCAATTAATGACTCGTTCAAATGTGGTAAAAGCAGAGCCCAAACTTAACTGACTTGTTTTGGCCCGTTCAACCTTATTATCATTTTAACCTTATTAGAAAAATATGAAGCAATGAAAATAACCTGAAGAAAGCTTCACCTTAGATTTATTCAAGTCGATCTTCCGCTGAGCGAGTTGCTGTTGTATTTTGTTCCTCCGCATCCTCTCTTCCGGGGGTGTGTCCAGTCTCTGGCCTACCTTGGAACTGATGGAGTTCTCCACGTGTTCCCGGATAGATTGACGCCAGTCGTCATACTGCGTCACTGGAAAAGAATTCGAAATGATTAACGCAACAAATCGATATAGATTAACATGCCGACTGATTAGGCCCTGAAAAACATATTTGGAGTTAATAATATTAAAAATTATCATATTAATAATAATCATAATAATCATATTAAAACAGTGCTGATTTAAATTAACCGGACAAAACGCGTTAAACTTGAAATTTAAAACCCGTTTTTCTCAAATTGGGTTGAGTTTAGGTGAAAACTTTTGAAAACAAAACTTGCTTAAAAATTTAGCAGAATTCATATGGTGTAATTTGTTTTGCAAAATTCGGGCCCAAAATTTTACCCCAAAAATGGGTCATTTTGGCTTTTCTTAGTTAATCAAAAACTACGCCAAAAATACCCAGTCGATCACAGACATAATTATATCATAGTGAGCCCCTTACGTAGCCCAACAAATTTTATGAAGGGTATTTTCTCCAAAAGAAATTTGGAAATTGTTTAAAAATTGTTTTTAAATAAAAAGTTGGTATTTTATATAGTAAAAACGACCTTTTTTGTCTATCAAACAAAAATAAATTAACTTATACAATATTTTGGAGATTATACCCTTCATAAAGTTTGTTGGGCTACGTAAGGGGCTCACTATGATATAATTGTTTCTGTGATCGACTGGGTGTTTTTGGCGTAGTTTTTGATTAACTAAGAAAAGCCAAAATGACCCATTTTTGGGGTAAAATTTTGGGCCCGAATTTTGCAAAACAAACTACACCATATTAATTCTGCTAAAATTTTAAGCAAGTCTTGTATTCATAAATTTTCACCTAAACTGAACCCAATTTGAGAAAAATGCGTTTTAAATTTCAAGTTTAACGCGTTTTGTCCGGTTAATTTAAATCAGCACTGTAGTCCTGTTTAAAGTTAACCAGAAACAACGAAAAACATACGAACTTTCGGACGCATTTTTCTCAAGTTGGGTTAAGTTCAGAAAAAAGTACAAAAAGAACAAATTTGCATAGAATTTCACCAGAATTAATATGGTACATTTTTTTCTCCGAAATTCTTAACCAAAATTTTACCCCGTGAAAATACCAAGTTAACTGATCAAAAAATTATATCAAAAGAATCCTTTTACATAGAAGCTTTTTAAAGTGATTGAAAATTGTTCTAAGCCAAAGATTTTGATTTTTATATAGTAAAAATGACTTTTCTTGGTTATGAACCAAAAACATATTCTCATATATAGATTTTTGGAAAATTGATCCTTCTAAAACATTTTGTTGGCATGTGTAAGAGGCTTCTTTTTGATTTAAACTTCTTATCAGTTAACCGGGTAATTTCAGCGTAATTCTTGATCTTGGAGTTCTAATTAATTTGTATTCTGTACATTTGTTGTTTTATCCTAACCCAATTGGAGAAAAATGCCTTTGAAATTTTAAATTTTGTTCGTTGTGTCTGGATAATTTAAATCAGCACTGTAGTAATAATAAATAGTCATAAAAATAATCATAATAAAAATTATCATAATCAGAAAAATTACAATAATCATAATTTTGGCTTCTACGAATCGCAGAGGATCAATGAAAGGCTATCCAGCCTGTCTAAGCATAATCCGTTTCTCTCATTTCCCCACATTCAAGGCTGAGTTATTTTGTTGATCTTCATAATCAACCCTGTAAAACTACTCGTTACGATCTTAAATTAATTCTCGTGTAAGCTGGAGGGAAAAAAGGCCGAATTTTAGTTTAAATGATAAGATTAAAAATAAATTTATCAATGAGAGGTAAGACCAACATACAGAAAAATCATGCGCTAAAAATTGTATTCTAAAAAATCCTTATTTTGCAAAAAAATACATAGCACTGCGATTGCGATTTTCGATTGCTACCGTAGATTGAATTCTAGTCGCGCACCTGTTTACGAGCTACATGCAAATTCTAGGGTTGCTTTCTAAGCTGGGAAATGTTGCATCAAAGACAAAAAAAACATCAAGGATCGAACCACCTATCTCTGTGTTCAGGGGCGGATTTAGGGGAGGGGGCGGATGGCCGCCTTTTTCCCTCTGGGATTCGACCCCCTGCAGACCTGAAAGGTCCCATTTTGTACTATTTTGAGATATCCATATTTGGTGACAGACCCTAAAAGTTTTCTAAAGGCGCCTTTGGCGCCAATATATACTAATTTTGAGGTTTTTGAGGGGCGAGCGCGCGACGAAAAAAAGCGATTTTTTGGTCAAAATTTTCCTAAAAATGCCTTTTTTGGCCTGTTTTTTTTTCAATAATTTGGCTGCGGCGCAAAAAATAGGACCAAAACAGGGTCTTTTTAATGCTTTGGAAGAGCTCGGATAATCAGTTTGGTCGACCTAACAAAAAGATCGACAAATTTTTCAAAATTTTTTGAAAATCCTCCCCCCTCGAGAAAATCCTAGATCCGCCCCTGCCTGTGGTTAATTGTTTAGTCTAAGAGGTCGACAATAACTGAACTGAATTAGATGGGAAAATTGAAATAAGTATTCTTACGACTTCGCTTAATCTTCATGTCCTTTTCCATGGAGAACTGAAATACTCGCTCTTTTGTTCTAGGGGTCAGAGGCTGGGAGTTATAAGATGATCTGGAACTCGAATTGATGCCATCTCCATGACTAGTACCTCCCGCCGACCCAGAATCATTGGAGAAAATACTGAGATGTCTGAAACATAGTAATGGTTTTACGATCTTTTTTTTTCTAAGACTATGATCGGAACATTCTGAGCTATTTGCACAGTAACCGGCTATCCTTGTTAATTATTTATCATGGTTTTCAGATTTGGAACTATCATTTTGGGAAATTGGAATTTAATGAACATATTCTTCAAATTAGTGTGGTTTAGAATTATCCTTGTCAATCTCAGAGACAAAGAGTTCACCTAAGAAACCGGTCAAAAAACTAGCATTTATAAACGTTATCACTTTGCAAAACCGATATATCATATCTGACTGTTTAATCCAAAACAAAATTTCTCCAGTAAAACTTGGAAGTACTACTCTTGTTCAGCTGGCGTTTTTTTATCAGCGCTATCAGCGTGATCTGCGCTTCAGATGAGTTCTGTCACTGGACCTATTCGAAGATTAAATAACTCAATAAAAATGCTGGATCTAGTTAACATTTTGTTTAGAATAAATTGGCTCAGCGCTGCGTGCAAATTTCTCAATTCTGACTGGCTGAAAAATCTAGCTTTGAAGTAAGGTTTAATCCACCCCCTTACATCGCTTTAGGGGAGAGGATGTGGTCCAAACATGGTCCTGACGTGGTCCAAACTTGACATGGCTAAATAAATTCTTTTTTTTTCTTCAAAAAAACACGCATACTCACTCTAGCCCATGAGGGGGCAATCTGAGCTGGTTCAAATTGGTCTTCGCCTTCCGCAGTTCCAATCCCTTCTGCTCAAACTCATCCTTCGCCTTTTGCCACTCCTGCTTGATGACGTCACTAACAGCAGTGCTCTGTCCAACACTCATCGCTGATTGGTCCCATTTTTTCAAAATAGCCGCTGATTGGTCAGATTTTTTGAAAGCGGGCGCTGATTGGTCAAACGTACCTTTGTTCTCGACAGCTGACTGGCTAGTCTTAATTTCGACTCCACATTGAATAGCTTGTTTCCTATTGGCTGCTGATTGTTCATTAGTCTTGCTTTTAGACGTTGATTGGTCCAATTTTCTGTCGGGTTTTTTCTTTCGGCTCGCTGTCTGTTCGGTTTTTCTCTCGGATGATTTGGACAATACGAGAGCAGCGGCGCTAGGAGCCCCTGTCATTGCTTGATGTGGGTTCATTTCACAAATACCGAGCGTTTTGCTTTACGGGATTGCCGGCCTAAACAATCGGAAATTACTTTTCACTCAATCTCTTTATCATTATCACCGACAAACTTTCTTAAAAAGTTTTCACAGGTTCAATAAATCGTCAAATATATTAAATTAAATAATTAGTCATGTAAATTTTTTTATTAGCGTCAAAAGTTTTACAAACTGCTCTTCAAAATACTTCAAAAATTGAAACTAAAAAAATTATTGTTTACTGCTTGAACCAAGGGATGATCTACGATTTTCAGATAGCGGGATTTTTTTTGTACAAACCAAACAAAATAAGTATATATTCTATTAAAAAATACATAATTAGCACAACTGGGAAAAGTTAATAAGATTCGGTCTGCCGAAAACAGTTGTCGTTATCCCTAAAGAAGAGCCTTCACCCCCCAAATCTGTTCCTGCTTTGAAGAACAGTGATTTTGAAAATTGTAGCAAAGAGAACTTCACGAAATGAACATAAATAATTATCTGAATACTTTAATTTTCCTAAAATGTGTATAGAAAAAATAAAAGAGCGTATTTTTACAATTTTGGCTAGCAAGATGGCAGATTTTCAAGATGACAGGTCTTTAAGATCATTAAGTGAAGAATAACTTTACCTGTTTTTAGCTCTGCAGAAGCTCACGAATGAAATATTTAAAGCAAGAAAGAACTTTCTGCTGAAAGTAAATTCACTCACACCAAATTACCAACACAAAGATTTGTAATTGTTTGTGACCTAATCATAATCAAAAAGACTTGCTCGCTCATAAACAATGCTTTTCAAACAGCGGAGAGGCTCTTTTTCAATCACGCTAAATGAAGTCTACGCGTGAAGACGTATAACTTTCACGTACAAATAGTTTTAAAATGCTAAAATCGAAAAGATTGAAAATGGTATATCTGTCATTGTAATAATTCTATCGTCTCTGACTGTTTCAGTCGTCAAGGAGTCTAAAATTTTGGTCGTCATTTTCACGGATTATTGCAGAAAAACTATTTAAAAAAACTATACCGAAAATTCTAAGCATGCTCAAATTGAGTATCACTTTCTTTTGTTCGGACCAACTTGAGAAAATAGTAAAGAACAATGGATAAAGATGGGTTATTTTTCGACCCGATTTTAGGCACCCCAAATAAAGTTCGCAAGAGGTCAAGTTTCAAAAAATTGTATGCGAATTTTAGCTGCAGTTTTGATTCCAAGAAGCTTTTTCAGAGTATACAAAAAAAAGAATCAGTAGCGAAATCAGTGATTGTCAGTTTGACAATCAATTTCGACAAACTAAGAAACTAATCTAGAAACCAAGACAAAACCAAGCTGACGAGAATCAGTCATCAGGAACACTTAGTACTTCAGAATTTGTTATCCTACGCAAATTCTGAATCGTTTTCGTCCTCAACTGATAAAGATAAAAGAGTTCAGCGATGGTGTCCCGCGATATGTAACACTCCTAAGTTTACAACCCCTACTTTATACCCCCGTAAAAATTGAACCTCAATTTAACAAAACTGCTCTTATCAGGGCGAAGCCCTGAATGTTCCGACTGCCTTTTAAGGTTTATGGAGCAGTAATAACATTCAAAAATTCAATGTAATAAAACAAAATGAAAAACAATTTTTCTAAATTTTGAAATTTTTTATGAATATCATCCCCCCACACGCCATACGAAAAATACGAAAGGATAGATTTCTTTCCTTGTAACAAATCAATTAGGGCAAATAAGCTTCTTTCAACCAATTTGGAACAATTTCTAAGACGGATTAAATCGCCGCTTACGCGTTACAAGCGCGAAATATATCGCGCGTTAACTGTCCCTAATTGGCCAATATGGCAATTTTTAAACTCCCATAACTTTACAAAAAATGGTCACAGGTGAAATATCTTTTCAAATTTAAGCTCAGGACAACAATAGTTTTCGAATGATTTTTAAAAAAATTTCGTCAAAATTGGCTAGTTTAAAAGTCGAAAAAAAAACCCACCCCGAGCACAAATATTCCGTTACTTTCGTATCGAAAGTCGGAACAATAACAATAATTTGTTTCAAATTAAGTCCTTACAACCATAGTAGTATTCCAATTAAGTATACTAATTGAGGACAGAGAAGCTATTTTTAATCCACTTGAAGCATTTAGTCACTCAAAAATTGCATTTCGATTAGTTAAAAAAATCCTTCATTCACGCGTTTCAAACAGATAACTTACATGGTACTAAGTGAAATTTGGTTAAGCCTCCCTTACACGTAAGTTTCTCGAAAGTGCTCAGACAAAAATAATAGTTGCATAGATGTACCAACGACATAATTATAAGCAATTACTTTTTCTCAATTAATTGGGTATAAATCATTTCGTTGGTACATCTATGCGACTGTTATTTTTTTATTTTTGGTCTGAGCTCTTTTGGGAACAATTTTTGGTTTTGATTGAGAGCTATGATCAAGTTAAATGGGGCAGTATAACAGTGCCGAAGTACAACAGTGCCGAAAATGAAAACTTTGTTCAACAAAACCGAAAATGAAAACTTTGTTCAACAGTGCCAAAAATTTGAACAAATTTCAACATATTAAGTGCGGCAATCAAAAATTAAACAGCGATCGCTTACAATCTTAAGTAGCACTTAAAGATTTTGGGAGAGAAATCTTGCAATTTAGACGTTTTGGCGCCAAAATAATTGTTTATTTTGCTGTTGCAGAAATTTTGGCGCCGAAACTGGTGTGATTTTCTTTGATAATTAGCGTCAGTAATTTCCCGCTCTTTAGAAAATGCGTGTAAAGGATTCTGAATTTTTCCCGCCTTTTTCGGCACTGTTGTACTTCGGCACTGTTGAACGCCCCCAGTTAAATCAATCTCTAAAACAATTGAAGTTAATATTATCCACTTCGCAGTTTAATATAGATTGCAAATGCTGAGCGTTTTAATAATATTGTTCAATTGTGATTGACTGAAATTCTCAACTAGGAGCTATCAATTTCTCGTCAACTTGACTTATTTGATAAAATTGGTTACCTGACCTTGCAAAAGTTGTCCCGAAGTTGAAATTGTAACTAAATTTTGGCTTGTTTACTAACTTTTTTGCTTGCTGTTAAGAAACGATATGAGTGCTTTTAAGAAACAAAAACAATGATGCAAATTTAGTAAACACAGATAGTTAACGATGAAAAAACATAGAAGAGGTTAATTTGTTCGATGGCAAATTAACGCGCCGTAAATTCAAGCTGCCAAACTAATCCACATATAAGCATTCTTAGATAGGCTCGGCTATGTCTTCTAAAGGTGAAACATCAATCTGCCGAAATAAGGGCGTTTAACAGTGCCGAAGTGCAACAGTGCCGGCAATGAAAAAGTGTTCAACAGTCTCAAAAATTGAACATGTTATGAATTTTGAGATTTTTTGTGAGTCGTAGGCAGTTTTGCGTGAATACTGTTTTGTTTTGGAGCGATACCCAGAAAAAAAGTTGGAGAATTTGCTGACATAATTATTTTTTCAGAAAAAATTATGATGTCACGCTTGGGGAACTTTTGTTTGTTTAACAAGCGGCATCAATTAAAACAGTCATTTTATCTTTTGAATTACCGTTCGTTTGAATATAATTACTTGCCTGTGGTTTAGGATGAGTAAAAACAGTATTAAAATAGATTTTCGACACTGTTTAACTAGATTTTGATTTTTGGCACTGCTGTACTTTGGCACTGTTGCACTGCCCCGCCGAAGTACATTAATGGAAAAAATGGGGAAAACGTTTGTTGAAATGATGTGTAACATACTAATCCGGAAATTTTACTTCGGTAATTAAATAAATAGCGTCTCATTATATGGGGCAGTTTACAATGCAATTTTACTATATTTCACAAAGCTGCTGCTCAATTTGAAACAAAAATTAGGCATTAAGTGGACGCCGGACATCAAGCCGACGGGGCTTCAAACCGAATCGTAAGATTAGGGACTTCAAGCCGATTATTTTTATCATACAGTCCTGAAATTTGATTAACTTGAAAGTTTTTTTGAAGAATTTCTCAGTTTCATGATCTTTCTTCACTAGTTATTGGCGTTTTCATAAAAAATAAGCATCCAAGTCATGATTAGGGTGATTGAAAAATAAAACACTGTTGACGTCGTTTTTCATATTTATAATTTATGCATTTCAAAAACCGGCTGATATTATTAACGGATGCCAATCCGTAGTGATGCATTGACATGAATAAAGCTTATTATGGACAAACTTGCCTAAACTTTTGAAAAGAAACGTTTTGCAGATAAAAAGTAGTGTTTTGAGGTGCTTGTAATGCTTAAATTTTGGCCTCAATGCCTTTCGGCTTGTTGTCCTAGACCCGTCTTAAACAAGGTAGCAAAACGGCTATTTATCTGAGGGTGAAGTATTTGATACAAAATTATTCGTGAACGACAAGGCCCAATCATTTGGAAGTGTCATATTGCCGAAGTTAAACTTCAAAAAGGGTGCCAGATTGCCAAAAAAACTACCTTCGGTTTTTTCTAAGGACCAGTAGTTTTGTAAAGTTTAGTGAAAGAGGGGGCTAGGTTTTTTAGCTGACCGGTTTTTCAGCAGGCAGATTTTTTAGCAGGCTCAAAACAATTAAACTGTCAGAACGCTTACTTCAAACGGCATTGGCCAGTAGAGTATGCTTGCTCCGCTTCGCTCCGTTTCGCTCCGCTGCGCTTACATCCGGCACGAGAGGAATACTGCGCGTGAATCAGTGTTCGCCGCTAAACTAGTTTGTTTTGCTTAGGACTTTGTTGACAAACCATGAGATAATTGTCCTAATTAGGGAAGCTCAACCCCAGATTACGCCCAATTTTAATTCAGTCAATCAATTTTTGCGGCCTCCCCAAAGCTGTCACTCAAAGTCTGCTAAAATACCTAAACTTCACTTTTTCAGGTAAAAAACCGGTCTGCTAAAAAACCGATCTGCTAAAAAACTGGTCCCCGTGAAAGAGGTACCAACTTGCCCCATATAATGAGACGCTAATTATCACATTGTCCGAAATATATAATCTTATGCTAATATCAAAATTTTCCCGCAATTTTGACAACCCGATACTTCTGCCTGTTGCGTTGATCCTACACTATTTTATCTGCACACCAAAATAACTTCAAACAACACACCACTAAGATTTAAACAATAATATAACTAAATTAAAAATTCGTCCACGATTGCTGAAGTTTACTGTCGTCTGTTTTAAATACCTCAAGCCAGAAAAACATTAAGAGGGATACACCCACCATCAACCGCTTCAACGACCCAAAGTGTTCTAATGGAGACAAACCAGCCTATCAGAGAGGTTCAATTCAGATAATCATATCTGTATTTGACATCATTATATTTAATGTTTGGTGGTTTTTTTCGCCCATCCAATAATTTATGCGATAATTTTGCTGAATAGATTTGGTGCTAGTAAAAATTGGCAAAGTACTTCAATATTGTATTTAATATATACCTTATATATTCAGTTGTACTTGTTCTATTAACAATTCCCCCTTCTCGTGCTGAGGTTCAGGAGCTGGAGAAAGCGATCAAAAAAGCGGTCTTATGCTGTTCCGGGAGAACTCGGAAATTCAGTGTGGTCGATGATAAATCGCTTGTGATGAAATTTTTTTTTGAAAATCCATCTCTATCTAGTTTTCTTCCCGCGCGAATACAATAATTTCAATTTTTTCTGAATTTTTTTTTTGAGCTGAGAAAATTTATTTGTCCTGAAAGTCTTGATAAATAAGTAAACTGACAGAAATATTAGGCGCTGACAAAATTTATCTGAAAAAGTTCAAAGAATGAACAGCTCATG